CTCGTCGATCCTCGTCCCTCGTCGATCCTCGTCCCTCGTCGATCCTCGTCCCTCGTCGATCCTCGTCCCTCGTCGATCCTCGTCCCTCGTCGATCCTCGTCCCTCGTCGATCCTCGTCCCTCGTCGATCCTCGTCCCTCGTCGATCCTCGTCCCTCGTCGATCCTCGTCCCTCGTCGATCCTCGTCCCTCGTCGATCCTCGTCCCTCGTCGATCCTCGTCCCTCGTCGATCCTCGTCCCTCGTCGATCCTCGTCCCTCGTCGATCCTCGTCCCTCGTCGATCCTCGTCCCTCGTCGATCCTCGTCACTCGTCGGTCCTCGTCACTCGTCGGCCCTCGTCACTCGTCGCTCGTCGGTCCTCGTCGCTCGTCAGTCGTCGATCGTCAGTCGTCAATCGTCAGTCGCTGATCGTCAGCCGTCGATCGTGAGCCGTCGAACGTAAACGCGTGGGCGGACGCCAAATTGTCCGCAATTCGTGGGTTTCCACGTAAAACGGGCGCAGGTGTCACGGGTTAGCGCCACCACCCTCAAAGCGACACGCTGAGAGTGTCAACCCATTGCCCAGAATTCGTGGGCTCACACGAGTTAGCACACGTGTGGGCACCAAATTGTCCGCAGTTCGTGGGTTTCCACAAAAAGCGGACGCAGATGCTTCACATCTCACGGCTAGCGGGCCAAGGTCCGCAACTTTTGGGCTCCCACGAAAAGCGGACAGTGGAGAATACAAACAAACCCCATCAAGATGCACCTTATTTTTTCCATAGCGGCATAGTCGAGATCCCTAATAGATCGCAGCGTAGTGCTGGCGGTGCTCCCATTGTTGTCAATGGTGAGGAGCCTCGATATATAGACATGAGCACTGTAGTAGCATTAAGAACCATTGCAACAACTTGACTTCAATCATGAACGACACCAACGCCATTCCTTTAAAGATAGCCACTGTTGGCAGTGCTGTGGCATTCCCTCACCCCCCCCCACGATGCCTGAAATCCTTCTCACTATTCCCAGCAATGAAACCCGTAGGGCTTCTTAATTCGATTGTTCGAAATATGTGCTACGGATTACCTACAGGACATGTCGAAGAGCTACAGACGATAACGCTTGGAACTGTTTAAATGGACAAGAATAAAACATAAACAACAAACAAAACAGCAACACAGTATCACCGTGTGGCAGTGTTCTGCCGCCTTGTACAATGATGGCACCCGCATAACTTGGCCGACCTTGTGGCCGCGATCGGTAGGGTTCACGAATCCAGTATCATGGGCGATAATAGTGGAAGTTACACGCCGAGTGGCAGTCTGATAGAGCGTCTTTCAACGGTGACCACGGTACGAACGAGACGCCTGCAGAAACAAATAGGGGCGGGGACCACAGGAGACGCATCGTGGGATCAAGGTGCCCTTGTGATCACGGGGGGACGGGGTATTTGCAAGGAGTATTAGTAGAAGGAACGAGAGGGGCGCAAAGGATACATAACCACGAAGGCTCTCGCGATAAGAAGCTTAGGGAGCAGCTCAGATATAAGAAAAAGGCCACCCAGGGACCCCTGAAGCATCGGGAATGGAGGGCAGCAGTAGCTCGTCGTCTAAGCGCCCGGCAGCGGCCTCCTCTGGGGCGCCGACGCCGGAAGATGTGCAAGATGATATCTTGGGTGCAGGGCCAAACTCTTTCACGGTAAAGAACCGCGTCAAAGGGGTGTCGATAGAGGATCTATGTCAGGGGTTCAGTGTGGGGCTTGTTGGGGCCCATGACTCCTCGAGAAAAGGGGATGGGAAGCGGAGCCTACGGGTGTTTCTTGAGGGTAGGAAGACAACGCGAAGTGCTTACGTCGTCGCTGACAAGTATTTCTCAGGATGTGCGAAAAACAATTGGGGCGCCGTGAAGAGTAAGAAAAACCAAGATGGGTGCTTCACAAAGATAGCGCTCGACTGCTTGGGGGGACAAGAAGATCCTAGCTTTGCAGTTGCAAGCTTGTACTACACCCCTCGGCCAATGGGTATGAGGGTCAGAGTAGGGCGAGAGGTGGCAAGTCACTCGGAAGTGATAATGGATTTTGTATTGCGGAAGTTTCGGCTCCCAAGCAGGAGACTCACCGAAGACGATTACGAAGAAGCGGCAGGCGAGGAAACAAAGAGGAGGAAGATGGGGCTAACGCAGTGATAAGATTGGCGGGCGGGTGGATGTGGGAGCGGATGCAATGCCAGTAGACGTCACGCAGGAACATGAAGAGGAGCCAAATGCGGACACACTTTCAGAATCAGACCCGAAAGGGATGCGCTGGCGCTCTGCCCTCCAAAAGTACCAGCGTGGCCTTGTTGATGGCACCACGATGATAGACCGAGACAGCACGTCGTGCCGCAAGGTGGGAAAGGGGTTGGAAGGGGGAAATCTCTGAGATTCGGGAACCCCGGTTACTACGGGGACAGAAGGGCCAGGCATGGCGTTAAGGGATAAGATGTCGGAAAAACTAAAGCAGGATCTGCAGAAGGAGAGCCCCCGAGAGGGACACGATCCCAATATGAATCCCCGCGAGCTTGCAAACATGACGACGCAGGTACTACAACCAATGACAAAGAAAGAAATCGAAAAGAACCGGCATGGGTCATCTACTGGAGCACGAATGACCCCTGGCGGGAAGTTTGTGAGACAGGTGCCGCACTCGAAATTGTCCGTAGTCCCGGAGTCGCTGGATGAGATGCCCCATCGGGATGTCCTATCAGGGCAAGAGGTAGAATCTATCCGGAACCAGATGGGGCCAATGCCTCCCAGGGTATTACCTGAGAACCGAAACGACATCGCAATCGAGGACTTCAGCAAGTATCTCCGCGAGATCGCGGACCTTAAGGAATTCCTTGTGGCGGTTGACTTGGCAGGGGTATGATGGTGACTGCTGCAAATCTGAGCACGAAGATACCCTCAGCATTGCAGACAGCACTTCCCAAGTGGCGCGCTTCAAGATACTGGAGACGGTGCGAGGAGCTGCTCTATGGGTTTGCGGGAAAACTTGCAGGCGAGCTATTAATCACAGAGTACAGCCAACTTTTGAGGGCTCTACGCTCGGCATGGTGTGAGGCCATCAGAAAGAGGCTCGAAGCAGTTAGCCTTGATAGTATGCCGATGCAGCCAGGGCATCATATTCATGCAGACAACTTGCAGCAAAAAACTGAAGAGGGAGGAGCAGGCAAACAGCTTGGCTTTGTGTGTCCATAATTGACTCGGTGGAAAATTGTCAGGAGTCACGCATGAAAGGGGACACTGGTGCCCATACTGAAACTATGGAGCTGGTAGCGCAGGCGCTCGCACTAATGTCGAAGCAACCAACGGGCAGACCTGCCTCAGAGTCACAATTTGGGGGCCTTAGGCTCAGCGCTATGACTTTGCTTCGGCGGAGGCTCCAGGTAGACACGCGAGAGCTCGCAAAACATTCCCACAGGACACGCTGAAGAGCTACAGGCGATAACGCTTGGAACTGCTTAAATAAAAAATAATAAAACATAAACAACAAACAAAACAGCAGCACAGTATCACCGTGCGGCAGTGTTCTGCCGCCTTGTACAATGATGGCACCCGCATAACATGGCCGACCTTGTGGCCGCGATCGGTAGGATTCACGAAAGCAGTACCACGGGCGACAATAGTGGACGTTACACGTCGGGCGACAGTTTGGCAGAGCGTTTCTCAGCGGCCTCCTTGGGTTTCTTTGGCTCGGGTTTTGCGTGAGGCTACTAGAAAGCGGCGCGCTTTTGCACATCTTTCAGCCTGGCCCCTCTGGTCTTGGACTTTTTTCCTGGTGGTGACTGGAACAAAGTGGGCACAGGCTAGCAACTTCAGGGCCACTCTCTAGCTTGGGCCCTCAGGACTTTGGTTTTTTACCTGTGGCGCCTAGGAAATTCCTTGCGCGGTTTAGCTCGCGCGGTTTAGCAGCCTCCTGAGGTCCATCCTTCAAACTGAAGCCGGTAGCCTCTGGCTTTTTCCTGTCGTGTTTAGCGTTTTCCTTGCACGATTTAACAACTTCTGGGCCTTTTTTGGACTTAAAGTCCGTAGACTCTGGAACTTTTTCGGGTGGTGACTGGATAAAAAATCTAGCGAATTTGATAGGCTTGCACTTTTCTCGCCATCCACTCCAAAAAGAGAACAAAAACGAAGAGGGGCGAAACATGAGCAGGGTGATTTCTTTCGCCAAGTTACCACCTCAAAACTAAAATGATTAAGAACCTTGCCGGCTTTTTTCTCGCGTGGCAGAGGGCGGGCATGGGTCCGAGCTGCTCCGGTCGCAGCGAAATTTTGCGACGCGTCAAATACCTTGTAAAGCCACTCGCAAAATGCGCCGCAGGTATGAGCGCCCTTTGCCGGGGCTTTGTCGTGGACTGCTGGCACCACTACCCAAGCCGCGGCTTGCGTTGCAGTGCGACGCCGGACGGCTCGCCTTTCCTTGGGCACTATTATCGGGTCGTGCCGTTGACGCACAAAAGCAGCCGTCACGGCGGCTCGCGCTCCTGTATTCAGAGGTCCACACATTCCTAGAATATCTATAGCATGGACTTATCTGTGACAACCACAACATCTTGTGTGAATCACAATCACGAAATTTTGCATATCTCACATACACGAAATTTTGCCGTAAGAATGGTTCTGTTTTGATGGAACGTCGCCTTTGGGCGACCCAACGTGATACCGTATGATGACCGCCTTCATGACATGAAGCATCCTCATTACATGACTGATGCCCGACAATCGAAAATTGTTGTAGCGTGTTGTGTTTTCCGTCCCAGAAAAGAACAACTGGCTTCCTTCGTGTGTGGCTGTTTAGTCTGTCACAGTGCAACGCGACATGATCACATCGAAAACCAAATGAGGATCCTCGAGTGCATAGAATTTTTGATTTTTGCTACAATAAACGTTGCCGCAAATAAGTTTTCTGCTTGTCGAACTTTTGATGAAGTAGACAAGCTTCCGTTGTTTATTCAAATCTACATCAATACCTGCTGACAGCGGTCGTTGTAAAAAAATGTAGCGGGCCGCACGATCCAGCACGAATTTGGATAATGAAAATACTCGACGCTTAGGAGAATGAATATCGAGTAGCGTCACACAGAGTTTTATTATAACTCATGATTCTCGATCTCGGTTTCCTTTAAGTCATCTTCGGTATTTTTTTTCCTCCGTAGAGTAGATCTTATTCCACCTGTTGTCGTCCTATTTTGTTTTTCCTCCTGCGTAGTTAGTGCGAATTAGCTTTCTTATCAATCTGTTGTGAATTGTTTCTGTTGTAAAGTAACTTTCATTCCACCTTTTTTTGCAGTAGTTGGGGATAGACAAGAATGCAGTGTTTAAGCTGAAGTGTGGGCTGAGCCGCGATCTCCAAGTTCCACCCAGCCGAAGTGTTTCCGTTCATTGGCGCCAGCCTTCGGAAAGCCCAGTATTCGACGAAGTGCGAACCAGTGATCCGGCATCCTGCCTCAGAACTACTTTGTCGCGGCGAACACTGCGGCAAAAACAAAAGAAGGACATTACGACCACCGCACGCAATGGCATTGGGAGTGGAGCATTATGCAAATCCGTGAGTATCTCCTAGCTATGAGGTCATCATATCGAGGTGGTTTTGCAAGCTCGATGCGCTACCGCAACATGCTGCAAACGGGTCGTTTGTAACATGTATGGTACCCGCAACATGCGACAAGTGTTTTTTTTCAAGCAATCCATCGACAACCATCTACTTCTGAAGGAAAATTTTTGACTACTACCAAGTGGTAGGACCCGAAGGGCCGCGGACGGTTATAGTACCTCTCCCCCGGTCGGGGAACCCGGCAAGCATCTTGCTTCACAAGAGCGCAGAGTCGCTACAACTCGTTTTGCCACATCCTACATGGTCGTGACGGAAGCGTCTGAATTGTTTTCGGCGATATTGAAGAAGCACTGACGTGGCTCTACCAAAAACATAGGTCCGTAGACGTCCACACCTATTGCGACTAAAAACAAATTACAACGAACGAGAAGACCACTACAACGAAATGACTAAAGCGAATCGACAACAATTGGACGACTACCCAGCTAGACGACAACGATTAATCTAGACAACAACAACTGAACACTTAGAGGACCACGACGAGTACATCTCTCCGCGATAGCAGTTTCCTCATCACCTCAGCAGGGCTGTGAAGCGTAGGAACAACCGTTATTTCGGCGGTCTTGGCATACAACAACAACAACAACAAAAAGAAGCCTAGCTCCCTCACTCTTGAAGAATCTTGAACCCCTGATATTGTAAAGCCCGGCAATCAACATCTTCATCGGCATCATGACGTCCAAACTGGAAACAAAGGGCGTGCGCGTCTTCTTGGGAAACATTCCCTTTGAAGCAAATGAAACCGATATGCGGGCCATCTGTGAGCTCGCAGGCCGTGTAGTAGAATTCCGATTTGTGATGGACAATCGACGAGCCAGACATAAGGGAACAGGGTAGAACCTTGGCTATTCAACTGTTTTGATTTCAATGTGATTGTGTTTGTGAAGATCACGATCATAGACGACGATTTAATTTTAGACTGTTCAGTGCAAACAAATATAATTATTTTATGAAGTTACAACTAGTTACAACTTGAACTTCTTGATGTGAACACCAGTACTATCGCTGAATGTCACTTTTCTGGTAAATTGTCAGAAACAAGAAGATGATTCTGCAAAAAGAAGATCCTAAGTACCTCAAAAATTTCGAAAACAGTTTTTGCGAGTATCCTAAGTACCTTAAATATTTCGATAACAGCTTTTGCGAGTATCCTGACGTAGACACGGCGCAAGCGGCCATTCGGAATTTGAACAAGTACCAAATTCGTGGGCGCGAGCTGATTGTGGATTGGGCCGACAACGAGATGAAGAGCAAAGCGTCACTTAGCAAAATTCTCACTTTGGATCAATTTGACACCGTAGGAAACCGAATTTCCGGACTCATGAAAAGGTCGGAACAAGAGGTCCAAAAAATTGACCCACAAGACTGCAGTCTGCTAGGCGAAGTAGCACAGCTCGTGCACAACTGCACCACATCGGAATTGCTCTATTGTAATATTCAGTTGAATTTGAATCATACTGATTTTCTTCGTACTTAAGTAAGTTCGTCTAATTATAGTTCTAATTGTCCATTTTAGGGATAAAGACGAAGATGTTTTTGAATATCTTGAGTCGTTTTTTTTTCCGACGAAGTTGAATCCCTCTTCATCGCGTGTGATGTCCTGAAAGCGCGTCTTTCGGTACGCACCACAATTATTGAGGAACAAGTGACTCAATCAGGTCTCTCAGAGGTGCAGCGATTGGCGCACACGAATCCTGAGAGGACTAAGCAGTGGCTGAAGCAAAACCCATTAGTTTCACACGCACTTACGCACGGCTGTTTTTTGACAGGAATCATCCACGACTCCTCTTTCTTGCGTGAAGCCAAAGACAAAGCAACCGAAGACGACGAGCACGCGGTGCTTACGAAAAACGAAGAAGAGATCCTACGATCTAGAAGCAAAGCGTACTTGATTAAGTTTTCCTGATTTTTCTCGTCTCGTTCGTGATACATTATTTGATGAACATTTTTATACAACTTTTCTCGAACAACCTACTAATTTATCCATATCTGTTTAAATTGAAAGACCGCTTACCACAGCAAATCAGGGACGAACGATAGCAAGGAAATACAAGAAGATTTAAAAAAACATATAGATATTACAGAGTTTTAGTTCCTGACGGATGTTACGGTTGACCTTGGTGAGCTGGCACCCATAAGCAAGGTCAACAACTCCGTTCCATTATCGTCGCGAGCACCTACCTTTCTCATTTCTTCCTGGTAGGGCCTTCTATGGCTGAAGTCAGGAACTTTACTTTGAGCGCTCTACTTCTAGCTTGTAATATAATCTACAGTTGGTTAATGTGTTTAGCCTATGGATTCGTCTTCCGCTATATTAAGTCCTTACTAGGTCTAATTTTACTTATCTCCTTCTATCATGTTTTCGAATCTTAGACTCATTCGCATAGGCATCCTAGCCATCCTCAACCTTTCCAACCGTAAACCTTAGGCAAATCACAACAAAAAGTGTCCTCCTCGCAACAAAGCAGCCTCTCCATCCTGTGTTCAGGATTGTTTTCATCTCAAAAGTGAAATATTTTTTTCGACTATCTAAGGTTAACAAGCATATTATAATTTACGAGATAAGTCAAAGTCGTAATCGTCCTGAAACCACGTTTGGTTTTACTCCGTCTAGGTTACGCGACAAATTATTCGGGAAAGAGTTTAAGCCGGTGACAAAGAAAGAAGTGTCTCTGGCGTTTGTGCGAAAACTGGAGAGGATGTCGCAGACGGAGATGTTCGAGTACTTGCGTCAGCTGAAGCCGGAAGAAATTGCGGCGTTGCCCACAGAACTGCAGCTTCAGGCGCAAGCCGTCCGAGCTAGCACAAAGGACGACCATCTGCACGAAGTGCACACTGAACGCCGAGGCAGACGAGGAGATCGGGAGCAAGGGGGCTACGGACCGGCGCCGCGCGACCGCACTTACTCGGGACAAAAGGGAGGTGGCGGAGGCTATGCCAACGGAGGTGGAAACGCAAAAGACTCCTACAAAGACAATTACGGTGGAAGCGGTGGAGGCGGAAAGGGAGGAGACAATTATAGCGGTGGGGGTGGAGCCAAAGACGGCTATGGAGGAGGAGGAAGCTACCGAAATGACTGGCGGGGCCAAGGCAAACGTGGAGGCGGTGGTGGTGACCCTTACTACTGAATGCTACAAGTAGTTCTTCTACAAGGACTTCTACTTTGTAGAAATGCGCTTTCGTTGTGTTTAATCCCTCCTGCTGTCCCGCGCTTTGAAGATCATCCCGTTGACGCCGCCCGAATGTCTATGGATTTTTCCTCCCACGCACATGATAATCTACACGACTGGATGTTTCCTATCCTTTAACGCATCTTCGCGCGCCAGACTGAGAACTTTTGTAATCCTATGTTATTCATCCGCTTCCGCAGTTGAACTGAGTTCCCAGGATGCCTAACGTTTGGTCAACTCCGTAATTTCTGTCGCCAAGACCGACAGAGGATACGCGAAGAAAAATGTTTTTCATAGTGTATCCATCGTGTTCTTCCCAGATAGAATAAAACAGGCTATGCAGACTGGAAAAACTCTGTGTGCAAATTGGCGGAGAGAGGTTGATATTAGACAACTCCAATGATTAGTACTAGTACTGCGCGAAAGAGATGATTTCTTATGCAAGCCCAGACGGGCTAGTTGACCTTCAATGTGCGTCTTGACGTCTGTCTCGTCAGCCTTCGTATCTGCCAGCGATGGAAATTTGGTGAATGCGAGACCGAGAGAAAGAAGTACTTAGCGGTATTTTTGCAGGATATTGTAAATGATTTTCATGACAATGACGTTGCAGTGCTGATTAATGTGTGAAAATTTTGAGTCACCGACGATGGCACTGCCACTTCATGTGGCCGGCATGAAAGCTTGTAGGCTTTGCCAAAAAAAAACAGATATCTGCTAGTACATTTGACGACTCTCTGCCACGACAAGAAGACCGCGAGAACTAGAAAGAATCTCACCTCTCACCTTGCCCAACAACAACATCAAGCCTTTTGAATTTGTGGTGGTGAGCAAGAGCTGCAATTGAGTATATGAATTATTATTCTTTCGCTAATATTACGCTTACTGTAATTGAGGATTAATACTTAGATAGAGTGAAGATCTGCATTGCGCAGCAATAGGATCTATGGAATCGTGACGTGGAGGATAATCGTTGGGGCCGCACGACGACTACACGGCGCCAACATAGGCAGGCCCGGCAACCACAAAATGACGTCAGGCGAAGCAATACCGGATCCTCCGACGTCGATGGTATTACCAATTTGACGATTTCTTGCTTACAAAAACAAAAAATATTTTCTCCTACAACTCGGAAAAAATCACCGATGGTCTTGGGTATACCTACTCGATATTGGAAATTGATGATTCTAAAACTGTCTTACACGATATTTTTCTCACCTAAGCGGCCCTTGGAGTCAATTCTTGATATAGAATAACAGAAAATTGATGCTTGTTTCTCGACACTTAATGCAGCCGGACGACCCGAGATGGAGCAGCGTGAAAATTTCTACGGTTCCGATGCCACAGATGTTCTCGGTTCTACCAGACGGAACAGCAGTGGTAAATATATGAAGATGTCGGAGAACGTAGTTGAAGTAGAAACAATTCTGACGCGAAGTTCTACCTATTTAACGTGGAATATTTTCCACCGCCAGATTCGATTCGAATATTTTCACTCATTGGATGGATCGCTTTTTTACTGGTAATTCAAGGAGTAGATTCACATCATCATCAATTCAAGGAGTCCCAAAATTCTTTTGTACTTGCTTTTGTACTTGATACACATAGATTTCTCCTGCACCGCTCGGTCCGAGCGTGGCACTGCAGCCATCTGCTTCCCCAGAACGCATCCGTCGAGTATTTCAACCGATCCCGCAGTCTTTGTTTGGCGGCTACGGAAAAAATGGGAAGCCTTTTGGGTTCGATGGCAAAAAGGGTAACATGATTAAGACCGGTTTTCCTTGAGGAATGAATGTGATTTTTGTCTAGTACTGGTACAACACTTACCTGCACTACGTGCTTGCAGCCTCTTCGATACGCTTCAGTACGTGGACTTAGTAGTATATTAGATTCATATTTTCAGTCCTCCTTTTTTATAAGGTTATGGTTCCATGATCACCTTCCTTTTTTATAACTTTGGGGCTTAGGTCCAGCGACGCGTAAAGCACTAAGCAAAACAACCGTTTAGTTTCCACCTCTTCACTATAGCTCCATCCCTTCATGCAATATCAAATTCATATTTTCAGTAATAGTCGAGTGTTTAAAGGGGAGCCAATTTTTTTCTCCTTTTTGAAAATGTCTTCGTTGTACATCATCAGAGACACGACCAGAAGATTCTTTTGATTATACTCCTAGCCCTTCCTCTAAGTTGAAAGGCGGCAAGGGAGATTACTACACGGCAATGGGCCGCGCCAGCAAGGGAGCAAACATGAAGGGAGACATGAAGGGACAATCGGGACAAAAGGGTGTTGCGAAAGGTGGCAAGCAGGGGAAGCAACCGGCATATTCAGAACTCACCTTGGCCGCTTTCCTCCCGACCGCACGCAAAAAGTCCACAGACCCAGAAAAGAATACTTATGATCATAGAAGAGAATATTTTGGGAGATAATATTTCTCAGGAGCAAAGCTAGCTGCAGAAAAATTACATTATTTCTCAAGAATGATTGAAAACTAGTCGTAGAACAAGAAGATTAAAATTTGTATCTATTTCTCAACTTTATTAAAAGTAGTACAAGGATTGAAACATGTCCAGCAACATGGGTGCGATGCCCAGATTACAGTCACAGTGTCTCTTCGTCTAGCTAAGAACTATAGAATCGGTATTATCGTCATAGTGAAACCTTTTTCCTTTCATATCACCGCTAGGAGCAACACGCAAAAGAAAAAATTGGTGCAAGTTAAAGCAGCTCCAGCAGCCGACGACTCTGCCGAAAGTGGAGGTGCAGGCGGTAGTCCGGCGGACACAACAAGCTTAAGAGGGATGAGTTTCTATCATACTCATGTACCTCTTCTTCAAAATCATCCAGATTTTTGGTATTTAGCAAGATGTTGAAATAGAATCTGTTTCACCATTCTGCCCTTAACCTGTAGTACCTCTAACTAGTAACAAGGCTCTCTCAGCAGGAGCCGCAGCCACACCGGCGACGTCTTCTTCGTCGAAAGCTCCTAGACAGCCGACGACGTCCCCTACGCCGACCGCTCCTGCAGCAGTATCAACGGCATCGAAGACCGGCACTTCAACAGCGACGACAAAAGCAGCAGCTGCAGTTGAATCATCCGCCAGAGCGACTAAGACTTCTTCTGCACCTAGGGAGGCGAGCACATCTTCTACGTCGGCGACGAAAAAGGGCAAGCCACCACCGCCAGACAAGCCGGTGCCTGCGCCAAAACAGCCACAGCCTGCAACAGTAGAGTCCCTCCTTCTGGCAGCGGCCGGTACCTTCTGCTACATGGATACGAGCACGTGGATCCCGCTACCAACCCTCAACTTCGATGCAAATAACTCTGTTCAACAACAGCAAGGTAGAAATTAATATGTTACAACCTCTATGAAAATTTTTACTACTTCGCCTTTGCAAAAAAATATTTTGTTATTTGTCAAAATGGAGTAGAAGACGCTCACCAGCACAAGTTGTACAAAATGTATGTTATTAATTGCTTTGTGTGAAACCTACCTTCTAGTCAATTTTCCTTCAGGTGTAGCAGCTGGCGTGCCAACTTATGCGGCACCGATGGCATTCGCTAGCCCTGAGCAGGTTATGGAGCATTTTGGGGCCATGTGTCCACACTACGCGTATCCGTATGCAGAGTACTGGCCTGCCCCACCCCGTTACCAGGGAGGTAGAGGATACAAAATTCGAGAAGCCCGTCGCAAGAAAATAAATGAAAAGTGGGCACGGAAGAACATCTTGAAACCACTACCAAGCGACTGCGAGAGCGAGTCAGAAGATCTCCCAGGGTCCTCAGAGACCACCGCAGCCTCAAGTTCGCCGCAAGACACCGCGGATAGACAAGGTTCGGGTGGTAGTGCCGCAAAATCCGAAACAAGACGCAGAAGCCCCGCGTCCTCGAGCAAGGTTGTCTTATACATGGAGCAAAGCCATACTAGAAGACTTTTGTTCTAAAGATCTACTTTTTCGTGTAAATGTCCACACCTACGATTTCTTCGTTTGGTACGATTTTTGTCATTGTTATAGAGGAGTGTGAAAAACTTAAACTACAGTTACTGAACCCGCGAAAAGAAATGCCTGATGAAGTGGCTGCAAAACGATCAGCGGAAGTTCAGAAGTGGAAACAGAAAGGGAGCTACTCAGCCTACGTAAAAATTCGCAAACACTTCGAAACGACGGCGAAAGGCGTTGGTAGAACTGAGGATAATGTTTTTACAGTAGTGTGAAACTACTCTATCCAAATGCTGTACGACTGAAGATGTTCTTCAAGTCGTGTATTCCCCTGATATTTTTTACAGCTCTTTTAACTTTTTCAGCAAGAAAAATAATTCGTCCCTCAAGAAGGTTGCTTACCATGCATTATCGTCTATTGTTTTTATGCGTAGCACACCCACAGTTTCAGACGATGCGCCTGAAGTGCCTATTACGCCACGACATGACGACATGGCGGTTTCAAAGCGCAAATGGAAATTCGAGCTCGAAAAATGGCGACGACAGAGGATCCATTTCGTAGCACATTTTGCGCACATCTTACCCAAAGACGATCCTGATATGTTATGACAGGAATGAAGATCTATTAATTTTTACATCATGTATAAGACGATCCTGATATGTTATGACCACTGGAATAATCTAGATCTGTTAGTTTGCGCTCACAGCTTCCGGTATTAACGGACTAGTTTTTACTAGATTTCCAGTTTCATGCATCATTATGATATTGACGATCGAAGTCGCTTTTTCTTTCATGTTTCATCTGTTATTAATTTCTGTTCGACGATTCCGATAGATACACCAAGGTTGATACGTACTAAGAAATGCATATTGATGTTGATAAGTCATGGTTTGTCCTCCTCTTACTCCTGTACTATATGCTGACATAATCCTCGAACTCGATCTCTAAAATGGGTGCAACTAAACAGTGAAGACGTCCTCGCCGCGGCGGTGGAGGAAAACGCCAACGAAAATGCCAATGAAGATGACGTTACGAAAAGCTGGCACAAGAAGGCGTTTTCTGAGCGCGTTTTCTGAGCAGTCAGTTCTATTTTAGAGGAAATAGAAGAGGACATTATAATTATTTTGATTAGTACAAGCTAAACCTAGCGTCCTACGTATAGAAGCACTACTAGGGATGCGAATAAATGAATGAACGTATTATAGCGCCGAACGGGTCCCTTTCTAAGACGAGCGGCGACAGCAAAAAGAGGACGAAGCAAGCCAAAAGCAAGGCAGACTTGACGCAGAAGTTCGTAAAAGTTGTGGATCCGGCTTGAAGGTCCTCCGCGCAAACGAAAGCTTACAATTTTGGTTTGGTGTATACGCGATGAGGGTTTTTACCAGGGTTAATCAGTTATTCTTCTTTCGTGGTTAAGGTTGTTTTATTCAATTTCTATGTGGGTTTAAGTTTTTAGTTGTTTTACAGATTAACAGTTTAGGAACGCATTGTATTTTGGGGTCGTCAGGTACTAGTCATTTGATTACTGCAAGCAATAACGATTATTTGAGGGTTTTCTATTTTTTGGTACTATACTTACATCATTAGCAGAAACGAGTTTTTGATTTCGACAAAGGTTATCTATATCGGCATTCCTTTTTCAAAAGAATAGATTAACGGGTCTGAATTTTGTAGATTTATTGAGATGTGTGACAATTGATGAATATGCCGTAGCAGCAGATTGGTATTGAGTTGAAGATTTATGAGCAAGCTTCCAATTAATATCGATCCTTTTTTCATTGCCAGAGGGTACCGCAAAGACGGAGGCTTCTGCTGCGCGGGCCATTTGATCTTCGAACAAGTATCACTACTACGTACGATGTAGCAAAAAAAATTGAACATTCTGAGGCGGCGTTCAATTATCGATTCCAGAGGACTATCTATTTATTGTTGTTGGTCGCAGGTAGCTACGACAAGTCTTCACAAAAATGCTTATCGGATTATAGCAAAAACACCACTGACGAGATCGATTTTTTCGATTAGCTACCTAGATTCTGCTCCAATTAGCTAGCTTCTAGGCATTAAGGGGATGCAAGAATTTATCCTTGGTAAAAGATGAGATCGCCTCCAGCTTTCCTGATATCACAGCCAAAAACCTGGGAGAGCGATGGTTAGTAATAGTACTAAAAGGAACTTGACTGCATCATGGGAAGAACTTCATTCACCTTCATCTTCACGTGATAGAAATAGATGTTTTTGAACTTTATAGAAATGAACCTAAAAAAGAGGCTTGCTCGTAGGATTTCTTTTGTGTGGCATGCCTTCGCCACTTTCAGCAGGAGGCTGTCGTTTCATTAGAGGCCTTACGCACACCACATGGCGAGATTTCAGTGGTAGGAGCGTACCGACGTCGCGGAGATGAAGATTCGCCTTGGACGATGTGAGGCTTTGGTTGAAAAGCTTACACATGTTTGGGTCTCTTACCGGCTCTACAGAAGCCCGAAATGAGAGGCAGGCAGATCCCATTCTTGGTCCTCGAGTCTTGCAAGCAGATCCCAAATACGACGATCTTTGCTGTATTCCTTCTTCCGGATCGGATCTCTTGGCCTGTCTCGCTCTACTAGATCTTTTTTATCTTTTCTATGGGTGCAGGATGGGTACTGGTTAATGAGCAGACTCTCATGATAAACACTACAGGAAGATGTTGTATGGCGGTGTAAAGACGAGATCATATACCTTACGATTTTTTATTTCTGACAAGCCGGATCACAACAAGTTCCTCACATTTAGAGCGATCACGCGTTCGATCCACTTTGATCAGAAGAGATAAATGCTCCTGATCGCGGAATAATGGAACACGTCATTACTCTAGTACTACAGGTAGTGGCTCCTACTTGTCCTTTCGAACTAATTATTATGTTGCCTACATTAATCAGCCCTACCTCCACAACATCAGGCCGCGCCCTTTCCGAATTTACTACTTGTGGTATTGCCCTCTAGTACTAGACTTAGACTAGTATAATTGAGGTGTGTTGTGCTGGGCTTCATGTAAGCTCTTGCTGCATGATTTTTCGAGAAGACTGCACTTTTTTCAACATGCACGTCAGCGTGGCATTGATTCTTGGGCAATATTTGATTCATACGACAAGATTAGACTTACTCGCATTCACCTTGTCGAGCCCTTATTTAAGCTTGTCGGATAATTCAGCTTCCACTACTGAACTCTGATTTAACTGACTTACTTACTACTACACTCTTACAACTTCGAGTTCCACTCATTCTAGAGACAACAAGATGTCGTCCGTGTCTTCTAGCTTGCGACCAACATGCAGTGGGTGCGGCAAGGTTGATCTCCCGCATTCCATGGGGTGCCCAACGTGCGCCAAGTTAGGCTTGCCTCCGTCTTACTTTTGCTCCCAGGAGTGTTTTAAGGAGAAGTGGAAGACGCACAAGAAGGTGCACAAAGCCGCGCAAGCCACCGTGGAACAATGGCGGGAAAGCAAACATTTAGATCGATCAGTGTTTGCAAATTACAATTTTTGTGGACCACTACGACCCTTCCCGGCTTCCTTCCCAATGCGCGGCGTTCCTGGTGGCGGCAAAATAGAGCTGCCGGACTGGGCTTTGACAGGGATACCGGAAATAGAAGCAAAAGCGAATCGGAGTGGAGGTATTGATCTTCATTGAGTAGCATGCCATTGTAAGAAATAGACTGAGAAGTACTAAAGATGCAATTTTTGCATCGACGGGATTTTGTGGTTTTTGCAGTGAGGTTCCTCTACAACTGCTAGTACAACAATACGGAGGTCTAATGGATGGAAGTTGGAATTGATGTGAAGGTGGATAGATGAGCAATTATTTCACTGCATTTTCGAATGTAATATGATTTCTACTGTAAATCTTTTTACACAGCCATTCCTGTGGTTTCGGATCCAGCAGAATTAGAGAAGCTTAGGGCCAGTTGCAAGCTCGGCCGCAAGGCTTTGGATGTCGCCGGCGCTATGATCGCTCCCGGTGTCACCAGTGAGCAGATTGACACAGCGGTGCATGACTTCATCGTATCGCACAACGCCTATCCCTCTCCGCTGAACTACCGCGGCTTCCCCCGATCCTGTTGCGTTTCAGTGAATGAAGTAGTCTGCCACGGGGTTCCAGACTCCAGGCCCTTAGAGGAGGGCGACATTGTGAACGTGGACGTGACCTGCTACTACCAGGGCTATCACGCGGACCTGAACGAGACTTTCTTGGTGGGGACCCAGGGTTCGGGGGATGCGGGCTTAGACGCGGACACCATCAGATTACTGCGCGGAACCTACGAAAGCTTGCAAGCCGCAATAGCCATGGTGAAGCCCGGCGTGATGTACAGGGAACTCGGAGGAGCCATCACCAAAGTAGCTCGTAAGCACGGATTGTCCGTGGTGCGCAGTTACTGCGGTCACGGCGTGGGGAAGCTCTTCCACTGCGCGCCCAGCATCCCGCACTACGAGAAAAACAAGGCCGTGGGCGTCATGAAGGTGGGCCACGTCTTTACAATTGAGCCGATGATAAATTTAGGCGGATACGAAGACCAGACGTGGCCAGATAGCTGGACGAGCGTGACGAGAGACGGGAAAAGGTCTGCGCAGTTCGAGCACACAATGATCGTCACAGAAACGGGGGTCGACGTGCTTACAAAAAGGACAGAAAAAAGCCCGCCATTTCGATGGGATGTAGACTAGACCTACCACCGATTTTGCACAGACTTCTCCTCCTGTAATCTCATCCCGGACCCTGAAGATGTTTCGTCAATCGGACAAGGCAATTTTTCGATGCAAACTCGTCGTTCCTCAACAACTATACTGGACGAGGTGTGGATACCTCCGATTACTTAGAGTGTTGTGCAATTCCGCACATCGTCAATATTTGAGTGTTCTTACCAAAAAATTTGTCGTATCGAAAAGAGGCCGCTCTTTCTTGGATGCAAACATCATTATCGATCATACTAGACAGCAAGGAAACGAGAGTACTGCGGATCGAAAAGAAGCGAAAAGAAATCGTGTTGAGTGGTGTTGTTGGCGGGCACACTTTTGATGCAAATCGTGATGCGTGGATCGTGGAAAAATGTTCGCGTTTGCGACGTCCATATTGTAACATTATCATGTCTACACTTCTGGTTCCAAAAAAAGCAAAGCGTAGCGATCCACAAGGTAGTAGAGAGTAAGCTAAGACGACGAAATACTAGTCGTTTACTGCATGATATTTTTTACAAAGACACGGAGAAGTTAAGTACAACATCTAAAACAAGAACTTAAGTACATCTAAAACAAATTCAAATTCGGCAAATTGCTTACTTCTATAACAGGCTGAAAATAAGTCAAAAAGAGAAATCTGGCATCATGGTGGGTGCTATCATCGGCACAAACGAGGAGAGGATGGCAGAGCACCGCAAAAAAATGCAACTTCCCGTGCTTCGGATCTCCAGGGCTAACGGTGACGCAGTCGAGTTCACATTGGACGAGCCGGGCGGTGTCAATTATGCCCTTGGATATCTGCCGGCGATCGCAGCACTTTTTCCTGGGCTGGAGAACGTTCCAGTGCAGCACTTGGCCCTGGTGGATAACGATACCGAGTCTGATGGGTACGCGACGCATTTGGGAAAACTTTCGTGTTTCGCAGTGGTACCCCCAAAGATTCCCGGCGACTCACGCGATCCGTTCGAGTCAGTTACGGCTATGCTACTTACCAAATCATCGCCACAAGGCGGCTCTCGAGATTCCCAAGTAGGGGAACGAGGAAAACTTATACGTAGAAAAAGACTTGCTCATCGAGTAACTAAGAAAAATCGGCTTCTTGAGCATTTCCTTTGCGAATACCAAACAACAACATCTACCAACATTGCTGTTCCTTAATGAACGAGATTGATTGACTGTAGCTCTTCTAAGTATTATTCGCCAGGCGACTACAGAAGAACGATTTTCCCTCGCGCCCGCACAGAAGAGCGAGCAGCGAAGGAGGGAGACGAACAGACGGGCGCGAAACTGGAGGAGCTGGGTCTAAGTCCGCCATTGCCAGCCGATAACCGTTGGCGTTTTGGGCTTGTAGTTGACTTGAACTTTGCTGGGCTTCAAAGCATGCAGAAGCACAGCGGGGAGTTCATGCTGGTCACGAAAACGATCATCATCGCCCAAATTATGGCTACCGCAGATACACCTCTCACTCCATCCTTGCGCAAGATTTCTTTACTGCAAGAATGGCGGAAGGATGGCATGACCATGAGAGGCACGAGTGCATTGGCTCTAATGCGCCAAGTTTGCCGGCGTTGCTTTTACAGAGCGATGTGTGGAGCAACGTGGAGCGCGCGAGATGGGTGCTACAAGAGGCCGCTGTGGCATTTGAGCACCATCAAACGAGCCGTCAGCAGACGCATGAAAAGCAGGAAGCAGGGGGCTTGAACTCAGCCGAGGATGATGACAGTGCGGACCTCGATCATCCGGAAGAGATTTCTACGGAGGAGCGCTCGCTCCGCTACGAGCTCGCCACGAAGAGGTGGAGAGTGGAGCACCTCAAAGAGGTAGCCAGGCAAGGCGGATGCTATCCGCTGCAGGTCCATGGGGTGTGTTTTTTGCATCATGGGTATCATCGGGCGGCGCCGCGATTACTCAGCCCGACAATGACGCTGGTAGAGTTTCTCTTGAATTTCGGCCCGGAGCCGATATTCGAAGCGATTCTGCAGTTGTGCAGCACAGCAGCTCGTGGCCATGATTTGCTTCAGGGCGTGACCCAAGAAAATGCGACAACCAATTTCGAACTCGAAGATTATGGTCGTCATGACGTGGGAGCCTCGTCTCCAGACTATGACCAGCAAACACGGCGTTCGTCTACGGAGCCGGATTGTCCGTTTTTTGACCTGTGCTGGATCGTCCAGGGAGCCTACTTGTTCCAGTTTGAAGTGCCGCTATTATGCCTTCTCGCTGCGCGTGGTTGGGCCAGATCTTTGACCCTGTTGCATGCTCGTTTACCGGCGTATGTTGCGCGGCATGTTGACCGCGAGTGTGTCGCTGGCGCCGTGCGCCACCGACACGCCAAAGTCCTGCATTTCTTCGCAGATCATTTTCCAGCCCAGTTTCTCGGCGCTGCTTCCGCCTATTTGCGCGACGTAGATATCGATAAAGTTGGCGAGCACGTACAGACATCCGGAGACGACGCAGTCGCCTTGTTTTTTCGTGAATTGCTGATAGACACAGCAGAAGAGGAGGGCGCCCTGTTGAAAACGGCACTTGCACGAGTTTCCCAGAAGCGATCGCGCGTAACATTGATCCCGAGCCCGCACGCTGAGGTAGGAGATGAGGATCTGTATCCACCTATCTCCCCCATCGGAGGTCACGAAGCGGAGAATCGGGACGGACTTCTCGTGGATCATAACGAGCATCGTGTCGACGAAAATAACATTCATACGGCTGACCACAACAGCGGTGGCTTTGCTTCTGCCGATGTTGCGGCGGCAGAGGCTGCAGTGGATCTTGCGGAAGACGCTGCGAAACACGAACTGTCTCGAGAAGAGGTTGCGGAAGCTAGTAGTACTACGTCGGCTGCACGATCGCAGGACGAGGTAACCCAAGACTCGCAAGCGTCCACGACGATTGAAGTTTCGGGTCCGAAGCCTCTGCTGTCGCAGAAACCGATGATCGGAAATGATTCTCCAGCTCGGTGCCATCTTCCTCACTTCGCGCGCCACCTCGCTGGTACCTGCGATTGCGCACATTGTCACTTTGGTCTGACGCGCGCCCGCGAGTACTGCTTCTTTTTGCGAAAACAGGTTGTGGCGGTCGCGCGGGTCTTCGAGGAGTCGCAGGTCGTCACCTCGCTCTTCCCCGACGTGAAGGAAGTAAAAATCGAGCTGGAAGACGAAGAGGCCTTTTTTAAGATTCATGTTTTTGCTATCTTGCTATCCTTTTTAGCTTGTCAGACAAAGTCTGAAGTTGGCGAACCTTATTAGAAACTGTTCTATAAAGGGAACACTTATTTCGGACGCCGCGAAGGTCTTCTAATTAGGATAGTGAAAAAGTAGTTGTACCTCGTCTAACTCTTGCAAAAATTTGTTTGGACACGAGCTGAACCAGGTGTCGGCACCAGGTGGTGGGGTTTTCGCGTTCGAGCTGCCACGCGATGTCGTTTGCGTTGCCAGAGGAAGCCGGTTCCGCTTGCAGCTTCCACGCGGAGGTCGTGGTCTCAAAATCAGTGCTTTAGACCCGCGAGCGACGGGCTCCTCTTCCACTGCCGCTGGCATCCAACAAGACCTACTAGTCATGGGACAAGACTCTCCAGAACCAGAAGAAGAGAACGATGATGCCGGATACGTCGAGCAGGGAACTCGTGAAGAGGAAGATGACGATACACCGGAGGACGAAGAGTTGGACTTCGTTGAACAGCACGACCAGCAACAGGCACAAGGGGTTACTCCTGGTGGCAGAGTCGAATACATTCGCGCGAGTGCGCAGCGCGCTAGTTTGATTTCTGCAACGCCGCGGAGCGGATTGTTCACGCCGACGCCTCGTCATTCCACTCTCAACGCCTCTAGTTTCGCTCCCCAGAAATCACAGTTCACGGTTCCCGGTTTGGGGCTCGTTCTTGGCATCACCCCACGAACTGAATATGGGGACTCCACGCAGCACCTTTACTCCGCGCGCAGAAGCTACGACGCAGTAGCGACGCCGCGCTCTATGGGAGAAGTGAAAACTACTAGTGCGCCTCTTCTAACTTCGCGATCTAGTGCCGTGCTTAGCACAACGCCGCACGCAGTTGGCGCTGCACCTGCGACGCGGACTCCGCGTTGGAGCACATCCACTACCACTTTGGTCGGGGCCTCCGCTTTACCTTCTGCGCGTCAGCGCTATAGCATTCTCTCGAGATCAGCGACGAAAAGACCCATTCGCGTGACAGGTGCTGCAACAACTCCGTCGCCTGTTGAGCAAGTTCATCAGCTCTCGAAAACTGCTACTTTATGAATTCTGGATATCATCTTCATCCATTTCGGAAGTATCCTCGAGCCTTTGTCGCATAAGAACAGAGCATGTGGAAGTACCAGAAGGAGCGTCGGTCATGTCGTGGCATATTGATATAAGCTCTAAGATGGATTTGTTATTGTTTCTCAGCAAAGATGGATTTTTTGTTATTCCTTCTTCTAATTGCATCAGCAATATCGTCGCAGCAAAACGCGTTGCATCCGGCATCTCCTGTCTATCGTGGAATTTTGCCTGGACGCGCGGTGAACGTCGACCCAAGAAGCCACCGGGTCACTGTTGGACCTGCTCCGCGTATGATCTTTGCGCCCGTGGTGCTTCCATCATCTACGGGTGCACGCAGTGGCGTTGGCAGTGGATACTCTATCGGGTATGGGAGCTACGGGGCCATCATGAAAATGGCGCATCACGGCGTTGTCGGACTTCGACGCTTCCGCGAAAACGTCCGCTGAAAAGTGAAGAAGTGACCTACTTGAAGACTTGGATACATTTTTGGGAGAGCCACTGAGATCAGGCCACTTGTTAAACATAGTTGGAAATCATATTTCCCAACGTGATTAGATATAATTGGGAACACAGGAATTTGATAGCGATTAGAAGTCTGAGATACCTCTAACCACGATAAATCCGAACTGGTAAGAAAATATAATGCTCATCGAACATGAGCAGAACCACTTAATTTCATCTAAAGAACTGCCGAAAATTTATACGAAATCGTATTGAAGATAGTTTTGCCAAGCACAGACGTGTACCAGGAAGAAAGAGAATACGACTGCTGATTTTGAATAGAAAACCTTGAGCATGATTCCGATTTTGGTGACCTATTGGTGACTAAGTTTGACACAAAATTCTAATTGTTGAACTTAGAGCTTGCAGATTCACGCTGCATTTGCGCACAATCGCCTAAATTTTGCACAGAAGTAGAAGAAGTAATAAATTGGAGAGATTTTTTTGAACTTGAATTTCATCTTGCTGTTTGATGTCGTCTCACTTTCTCGACGGAGCCGACACTTTTTGAATATTACCTAAACTTATGAACCGAAAAGCATAGTCGAGCCGCCTTTTATATGTCATTATGCCAGAGCCAGAACTTGTATCTATAGCCTGATGGATTGAAAAAAATGAACTGATGACTTCTGCGCATGCCATGAACAAATTGAGAGTGAGTATCGTTGTGATGTCGTCTGATACGGTGAATTAGATAGTCGACATCAAAGTTTTGCTATTTTCGAGAATAGGTACCTTCATAATCGTACCAAAAGAGGTTTGCCTCATCTACCGAGTAGTCAGTGGAAACAAATATTTCGATAACATCCAAAAGAAAAAGATGATACTAGAAAATCTCACGACGAGCAATTCACACACAGAACCACAGCGAAGCTAAGCATATCTGAACTACTAGTTGATTAGAAAAAATGGGAGCTCAGAAGAACAATAAGCTGCTGAACTATTACTTACACATCACTTCGAACAACTACGGTATGATAGATAATTACACCCCTCGGCTTGAGAACTAATAGAGTTACTTATGGAAGATATCAAGAAGTGCTCCTCAGAATTTTCGACACGATATCAAAGTATGATTTAAGACAAAAAATGCACCACAGATCTTAACGGACTCAATGCAAAAATTTATCGAGACAACCGAATCCTACACTTTTTCCGGTAAGTGATCTTGGGAACTAGAATCCCCTTGATTGAAAGCTAATATGTGCTCCTGACAGTGGAATTCTGCGCGCGTCAATAAAAGCGAAAACGGCGAAAAGGAGTATGACTTTGAGGGGACGCGAAGATGCGCATTTTTCTTTTTGAGTGAGGAAAAGTGATACGATACGATGTTAAGCCTAAGTCCGAGAGACGCTACGAGAGTCGAGGAAAATCTAGCTGTTTTAAAACGCAAGTTCTTCTTGTTTCAAAAGAGTGTCTGAATACTGAAAAGTTAGGAGTGGCTGAAAAAGTACAAGTCCATGTCTCCACCAACGGCGAAGCAAAGCCATTTATACCGATAGCGAGCGAAAATGCCGGCTGAACCCGCGTCGATTCTGAACGCGGAGCAGCAGGCGAAAGTCGACAGCGCTAAAGTACTTTATCGTCGATGCCTTGATCTAGCAAAAAAAAGGCCTGCACACATAGGATCTCATTAGTTACTTCTTACTTAAAGATCCTAGTTGAACAGAGACGCCTTATAGTACCCCTGGTTGGATACATCGTCATGATATTCCCTCGTGCGAGTTGGCAACTGATGGACACATGCACATTCTACATTTTCAGAGGATCACGTGACATTCACAATCTGAAACCAGGTAGCACAACAGATGAAGAATGAAAAGTACTTAAGGGAGCATCCGGAAATACACACGATGCTAAGCAAGTTCGTTAACTCAGCTCTGGAGAAAAGGGTACCTTTACCTTCTTATTTTTACATGAACAAAACAAGTTAGTTGTTGCTGTTGTACTTGTACTTTCTTGATTCCTCCTTGTAAAGTCAGCAATTCCAACTCCGCGTATCTCACGCAATTCAAGATATGTATTATTCTATAACTCTTTTTCTTATCAGCCCGAGGATATCTTAAAATTTGCGGGGGATTTCTTCACTGCGCCAGACCTGAAGGAGAACGTGGAGGCGGATATGGCTCAATAACGAGGACATAAGTTTTGCATGTAGACCACGAAGCATGCATGACGACGCGCAGGGGAATGCATTCGCACTTGGTTGCTTCTGCAATTGTAGTTGATTGAATCATGATGTTGGTAGTCGTACTTCCTAATTGTAGTGAAATTCCTCCTTTCCACAGGAACATGATTCCTCGCCTCTTGATTCCTTTTTGTATGACCACGAATATCTATCTCCATGCTTAGCGTGGAAAAGTTGCATTTTTGCGAATGATCTCTGCGATGGGCGTCGAGAGGCTTTAGCGCGAGGCGCGACGTCGCAAATGTTCTGCGACGTCAGTACACTAAAGCAAGCAACACTCGATCCTCTTCCTACAAGGAGGAGGCAGGCCCTGTTCGTTGTTGCAGATGGATACGACACAGTGTTAGACGCTAAATGAAAAAGGCTTATATTTTATGAAAGAATAGTGCCAGGGCGGTTCAGAAACGTCGGTAAAATAAGTAAGTTCGAGTGCTAGTTAAACGAGACTTTGGTGAATAAAACTACGAACAAACTTTCAGACTCCAAGGCCTTAGAAAAATAGTCGAATCTGTCGGAACAGTGGCAGTGTTGAAGAGACAGGCTCGGGCAGATGGAAGGTTCTTTGCACGAAATTGGGTTATTCCACATCTTCTAAAAAATGAGTTTAAATCAATGCAATAAAGGAAGAAGAAGCGACAAGAGTTCTTGATTATCCAAGAGAATATGGCCGCCAACCGGCCACCCGTGGTAGCGGGGACGGCCGGGCGACGGGTCGGCCTTCCGATTGCGCACGCGAACCGAGATCCGCTATCAATTCACTTACAGGATTGGTTGTCAAACCGAACCTTGCGGAATTTTTTAGGGCAATACTCGGAAAACGTGTGGGGTGAGGTGGTCAAATCGCTCGTCCTCCTGGCAATTTTCGCCTTACAACTGCACCAAGAGGATCCGAGTAAGCCGGTGGAGGCTCAGCAGTGGACGTTAGAGGACCTCGACAGCCTTTTGCGGTACTGCGTGCACGAAGGGCAGTGGCCAGAAGGAGGTGAGACCTTCAAGCCAGAAAATTTCCGGATACCCTTTGGCGAAGGAAGCGCAGGTAACGTAGCTGACGGACTTGGGGGTGTCATCAAATTCAGGAAGCCAGGTGCGCAGTGGCGAAAAGGGAACACTACAGTGTTTCGGCCGAGAGGACCCCATGGTATTTCAATCGTTTTCTACATTCAAACATAAGAAAGGGTTCTTTATTTGACCACTTACTTACAAGCGGCTCATCCACATCTTCGTTTCATAGGCATCAACATCACAAGATCCTCATATTTCTATGTTGACTTGCATCTTCTTGAAACTCCTAGTTACCTGCATCTACTTCATGAACGGGGGGATAGCAGTGATGTATCCTTGTACTTTTTTCAGACAAATCCGGCGGCGCAGGACCGCCCAAGGGGCAACCAGACCCTGTGCCAGAGCAGACAGTGTATCGCGGAGATGGCACTGTTTCGACGAAAAAGCTCACGCGAAAAGCTGTCTACCCAACATGGTGGGGGGACCCCAAACCGTCAAAGCAACAGCTCCAGCGAGCTCTCAGAAGAATAAGGGACGAGAACGCAAAGCAGAAGCACCAACTGCGGATACTGGAGGAGAGGCAAGGACAAACTGAGCACATTGTCGGAGAAGATCTGGATTGGGAGGCCGGGGGGTCTTCTGCATCGAGCTACAATATGGCAAGAGCTTAATTGATGTTGATTTTTCATAGACGTTGTCGGTGGAAAAAGAAGAAATTATCTAAGTTTTTCTCCATCGTGTGTACGACGATTCAGTCAACAACTCTTAGAAATAGGATCATGTAATAAGAAGTGTTTACAAGGTAGTTCTTCCGTGCCAACATTTGCTTGTTGTTTAAGTTTCTCAATACCAGAGAGTATCGGTCGTATCGGATTGAGTGTTCTAAAAACGGCATGCTAAAGGTGGGAAGAAAAACGGTGCGGGTCCCCAGAAATTTGTTCTAAGTAAAGCACCTATAGCAGCGCTGTGGACGACAATGCTGGTGGATCGGAAGCCGGTACCTCGTCTTACGCTCAACAACATGAACATCAGGGTGGTGAAGATAGCGAAGTCGGAAATTATGGTGGAGGACGAAATAGGAGTCCTCACGATCCCGATTTCAATCCATATGCGCCTGCGCCAAGAGCGGGAGGACGAGGCGGTGGGAAATATGTAGACGTGCAGAGTCGGATACGAGGCCCGAACAACTTGAGAAGCGATCACGCGGACAGACGGCATAAAACGAGGTGTCGGTCACGTCTCGGCCCGACGGGGGACGATCGGATAGTACTCGGAACTGCGGTAAACATTTTTGTCTGGTGACCGTGATGTGTAGGGACCTAAAATAGCATATAAGTACTATGAGTTTTTGTGCTAGAAGACCAAGGAAGCATTCCCGCAATTTAATCATTGTTGTCCTTGTCTGACTGTGGATGGTGTAACAATTACCATCAAGACTCATTAATTTAGATTTTGATTTTGCTTTAAGAGTGCTGAATACAACAGGACGACCCATTTGCTCTCGACCCTTCGGCTATGGACAGCATAGACCGGGTGCATGTTTTGAACGAGTGTACCAAGAGCCCTAAAGCGTGGACTGTGACCTTTCCAAGTCAAACGAAGCCGAGTCCTATTTCCTCTGACATTCGCCCTGATAGCATACGCGATCGAAGCGGACAGGATAGCTCGGCATCAACTGGTAGAGGCTCAAATTACGGGCAATGAGATGAATGTTGACCTCATCTTTTTGTGATAAGACAAGAGGGAAAGTCTCTAATCCACAGTAGTTGTAGTTGTTCTGGAGATAACATAAGAATCCCCTCATTCGAGTAGTTGTACGTTTCTTGCAAATACCAGTGCGTCAAAGAGAATGTTAAGAATATAGACAATTGACAGGACCACAGCTCAAAGGGAAGACGAGGACCGAAGATGTATTTTGTTTCATTCTACCAGGGCCTGTACATTTTCTACTACAAGTACGTGAAGAACAGGGTCATTAGTGGTTCTACCTTCTGCATTTTTTCACTCTAATCAAAGGGAAGACGAGGACAGCGCGCAGGTGCATCTAGGGGAGGTGATGGAGCAGTGGCGCTTGCAGAGAGCTTCCTATCTAATCCAGCTTTGAGAAAAGCGTTCGCTAGTCCTGTAGATGCACCTGAGGAGTCAGACTCTTCGGCAGCACTATTGAATGCTGAAATCGACATGCTAGAGGTACTGAAGATGAGGGCTTCTGTTTTTTTTGAGAGGGAAATTATTTTTATCTTCGTGACAGATTCTGTATATTGGGCTCTTCCTCCTCCAGTGAATGAACACGCTAAGTACCAAAAGTTTTCTTGGGTTGAGTGGTGTTTATTCAAATGCATAAAACGCCTGTTGAAAAAGAAATTGCCAAAGTGTTTTTGTCTTGTGTGTGTTTTCAATGCGTTGTTACTTAAGTTCGTTTTTCTTTTAAACACTTAATTACTCAACTAAATCACTCCAAGGCTTTGGCTTTTCTTATGGCTCAACTCTCAACAGATTGCCAGCAAACAACTCAAACAGATTGGCGTAGTGTGGATTTCTCTCACACCCGCCAACCTAAGAGCTTGCGACGCATGACATTGATCAGATGTTTTGCGAGCAAGGTTGATTTAACAACAAGTTAACAGTGCTGGGCAAACGTATACAACGACAAACAATGTGAAAGAGAGCACTAACCTACGCTAGTCTAATGCAAATCACTATCGCGGAGAGTGCGACGAGCCAGCCTAAAGCCTTGCCTTTTAGAGTGGGTCTTCTTTACGTGTTCAGTACTTTTCTTTACGTGTTTTCTTTTGTATTTCTACTGACTTACCGCTACTACACTCTACTCTTTGGTAAGCAAACTCTTTTGCAGCTAGCCTTACGAGTCAAGGTTAATGGGTTAAATTATCAACAGTTTTAGTAGTAAAAAGTGAGTCGTTCTAGACGCACAAGGTAAAGTTTGTTTATCTATACGCTAGAAGAAAAACATAAGTCAGCTCTGCCGTAACCGCTGTGCTCAAGGCGTTATAAACAGCTTGCCTAGTCGTAGTGACTTTATGAACAAAGGCAAAGTGTTAGACTTTAGTTTAGTTCCAACGTCCACAATGTTCGAAGTTTTACCGCACAAGAATTTAAGAGCAAACTTGTTACTAGTGAACGCTTGGCGTAGCGTTCCCCAGATAACATTCATTCTTGGATTCTTGTGCTTGTTCGAACTCTTTATGTGTGTTATGGTTGAGTTGTTATCGTTAAAGATGCAAGGTTTAAGTTTACTGCACACAACTTGCATTTCGAGGCCTAGACTTTGTAAGTATTCCGCTGTTACGGAACCGTACTGAATAGATAATGTCTCAACGTCAAGAATAGTGTCTACCCTACGTATAACTACTCGAGTTCTCCAAAATACTAGAGAAGCATGGACCCACGCGGGCTTACTAGATACCGGCGCTAAACGGTCGGTAGGCTCGTTGGTGTAAAGGTTTTGGTCGTAGTCGACGTCGTAGTCAGATACGAAAAACATACCAGCAAAAACAGACGGGCAAGTTTTGTGACGGTTGTAACTTGCGTCAGTGAGTGCAACTATGCGAGATTTTTCTACTTTCATGGGGTGCATGCGAATGCCATTCCCACGATGAAAAATAGCAGTCCTCAAAGTCTTGTTTAGGGCAATGACGTCGCTCCAAATAGGACTTGCAACGGCCCTGGAACCAGTGAAAGTTCCAAATAGCAAGTCGGGCCTTGTCTTGTAAGTTATCCAGTTAAGACGACCAACCATAGCACGAAAAAGACTATGCGAAGCTGTATCTAAAGCTTTTTCAAGATCGACACCATCAGGAATAGACATTTCAGCTAATTTGGCAGCGTATCCTTCCTGCGAAATCTTGAAAGATCGCCTGCCGCTTGCGTCTCTCTCGACAACTAAGTCACGACCAAGAAAAGTAAAGGACTGAAGTAAAGACTTAGGATCTTCTTTCCAGTTGTCTCCTACTAGAAAATATGAAGTAACTTCTTTACACACCTCATGGAATTTGTCGTCACCTCCCCGAAGGGTATCGTCTACGTGAAGACAAACTACGCCAGATACTTTGTGTTCTGGTGGTAAAGTTTCAATCTCGTAGACTTTCTCCTCTAACTTTTGAGTTTCAACTTCACCTATATAAGCTTCTGACTTAGTGCCTCGGATGACATTGCTGGCGGTGTCAGTAACGAGGATGGAAATGCCTGGGTCACATCGTAACTGCTGAAAACCTACTTCAAAAAGTTTCTTAGTTAAAGTTCGAAACCAACCACGAGAAGCATCAATAAGACCATAGCAAGCGCGAATAAAAATGCAAACTGAGTCTTCTTGAAATCCCATAACTTCACGCACTATATCTTGAAGCTCAGGGGGAAGAAAGTCAACAGGGGGGAACTCGACGTGAGGTCGGAGTTTGGGGTCCTCTATCTCCTCAGCTTGTAAAAACGCGTTTAAGAAGTCTTCGCCGTATAGTAGCCAGCCTTCATTTGAGTACTTTTGAAGTGCTAAGTGTAGTCCTTCTTGGGAGACCATAGTAGTGTCTCTCCGCACGTATCCAGATCTATCGTCGTTCTTAGGAAATCCGCGAGGTACATAGCGCACTTTTACTTTCTTTAAGAGACCATCGGTAAGGGTCTTGATGCCTAGAATTAGTCTAGAAGTAAGTGGCTTGCGAGATGGATCCCTTTTACCTACAACAAAAACATTGAACTTATTTAATGCGCCTAGTTCTTGACGTAGCGCCTCTTTAAGTTGATCCATCAAGTTATGTTCTTCGAAGAAAGATATAGGCAAGTCCTGAGCGGTGCCTTTTGCTAATAATTCAGCCGGAAGATTTAACTTGATCCCTTTTGCTGATTTGTTGGCCGTAATCTTGTCAGGTATAGTAGGCTTAGGACGAGAATAAAAAGAGACTACGACTCCCTTACGCGGAATTGCGTCGCCAACTAATCGCTTTGTTTGACTGTCAGGCAACAAAAGATACGACTCTTGACTTAGATGCTTCGAGTTACCAGTAAGAATCCTGCCACGTCCTCGATAAACTGTTATCTTTTCGATGTGGTTACCTTTACCGTCCGGATTTCTAACGTTTTCCAGTAGTGAGAATAATGAATCGCCATGCTGTAAGTGGATCATCTCGCTACTATCTGCAGCCAGATGCGTCTGAAGTACATCATAAAAATCACACATCTCAGAAAGAAACACAGGCTCTTGGTCAGGATTAGGCTCCTGCTGGACGAACAAAGCTGAAGCATCGTTTCTAGTGCTAGAATCGTCAGCGCAGTCAGTGCTATAGAATGCTAGTAAAGCTCTAGCGCGAGACCTACAAGAAGCCCGGATGTTATCCTGAAGTTCCTTCTTTCCGTTTTTCAGTGAGATACCCAGGAACTTGGTTAGATAACGAAGCTGATTGACGGTTAGCGCACTTACGTAAGCTTGTTGCTGTACAAAAGGTAAAGCCAAGAACTCAGTTAGTTCTTCGCCAGAGATAGCGCTATAATATCTAGCATCCAACGTAGATAAGTCAATATCACTACGATTAGATTGCTCCATACTGTTACCAATGCGATATTCGAAGTTTTCACTTTCTAAGCTGTCGGATGCTGTCTCTAGTGGTATTCTAATAATCATTTTTGCATCCTTTTGAAGTCTAAACGCACTAGCATCATGAACGATAGCAGTAGGCTTTTGAAAAGTATGACTAAAAACTAATACTAGTTGCAGTCCTGAAGTTGCTGCTTGTGGAATAGTCCTAGAATGAGCCTCAACGTCCGCAAATACCTCACCAGATGTTCCGTCCAGGAGGTTGCTCTTTGTCACACTGCGCAGCTCCGGACTTGCGCGCGCAGTCGCCACCAGTTGCTTCGAATGCTTGACGCATAGCCGTTCCAATTTCTTCGCGCGGTTGCTGTGCTTCGCTTTGGGATCAGCCTGAGGCAGATACGGGGCATCAGAAACGTTATCGACCGAATCAGGTGGAGGGGAAGAAGCGGAATTATGATCATCATGTTGCACCGGAGAGCTTGTAGCTGGGACTTCGACGCAGAGCTCATCCGCAGAAGGTAAGAAAACTCGCGCGTGTGAAACTTCATGCGCGTCGCCGTTGGTAAGCCGGGCCACCACTACGCGCTCTCCTTCGCCGCGAGTGCCGAGCACTTCCGCGTCGCGCATCCGCTTGACCCCAAGATCCTTCGAATCAGCTACGAGTAGTCTGCATTTGTCACCAGTTCGCCACGCTTCTAATTTTCGTCCGCGGCTTTCGCTGTTATTTTTAAGCTCCGTAAGCTCTGCTTCCACATTGACGGCCAATGCTGCTCGCTTTCGAAGTTCTTCTCTCTGCAGAAGCATCTGGTCCAATGTGGATTCGTCCGTAACTGGTCCGAAGTAGACGTCGCTTTGTAGTGCAATCCGTTGGGCAGATAAAGATCTCCCGAAATACTTCCTGATATAGGAGTTCTTCGCTTTTTGTCCCCAAGCGCAAATGTCGTCCATGGTTAATTTGTCGACATGTTTCGCATCGACATTGACTAACTTCTCCACGATGCGCCGGAATACTCGATTGTGTGACTCTACAAAATTAGCATGCCGATCGGAAGTCGAGCGATAATGTATCATTTTGTTGGTACGGAGGAAGCTTAAGACTTGTCCGTTGACGAATTCCTTTCCGTTATCGCTGAAGATTGCGCCGGGAAGTGAACCAAAAATCGTAGCCCATTTATCTAAAGCTCTGCAGACATCCGCTCCGGTCGGGTGTCCTTCTTGAATGACGATGATCAAAGACCATTTCGAGAACGCATCGACCAAGTGTAAAACTGCGTACTCGTCTCCGTTAAATTTCAGGAAGAGAGTATCCATCGCGACGCACTCATTGACATGACTAAACTTCTTGGATCGAGGTGCTGCTGGCTTTTTACGAAGAGCGCCCTGGCATATGTCGCACATCTCATAGACTGCATCCGCTAAGTGTCGAGGTAGTCCAATGCTGGAATATCGTTCGCACATTTGGTCTGGATGTGGATGATCACGCTGATGGAGCTCCTCAGTGAGTTGATACGTCCAAGGGAATGGAAAATCGAAATCCTCTGACTGTACTGCTTGATAGATGAGGAAAGTACTGCCGTCGGGGGTGTCTTGAATTTGAAACGTAGGCTGCCGTCGGTCTTGTTGCTGCTGAGTTTGATGAAACGTAGAAAAAGTGACTTGGTATAAGTTATTTTTATGCTCCATCGGAAATTCGATTTTTGAATTCGAAAACTTTAAACCTGGAAAATCGACCACGTAGTCTTGAAGAAAGTCTTGCCCTAATAAAAATGGCGTATTTGCTCCTGGGATGATCCAAAACTTTCTAGTGGTGCCGGGAAGATTTGCTAGTTGTGTTGCTTCCTTGTTTGCGCCTCCCGCGAACTTGAAGAATTTGCGCTCCGTAGTAGGAATATCCACGATCTCCACGCCTGCTACTACATTTAGAATTTCTTCAATTTGATGCTCTCCAACGCAACTGTCTGAACAACCAGAATCCAACACTAGGTGAAACTTCACATCCTGAACATCGTCTTCTTTGAACGATATGAAGCAGCATCCTGCTGCAAACTCTTCTTTTTTCTTCGTCTCCTCTCCGGTTAGTCAAGGTCGACCATGTCCGCTTCCGTCGTGTTCAGCATGATCTTGATGCTGGTCCACAGTGTCCGCTTCGACGAAGTATGCGCGGCCATCCTTGCGATATTTCTTGATGTAGTACTTGTTCTTGCCGTTGCCTTTGTTCTGCGAAGAAGAAGATGAAGAAGAATTGTTGTAGTTGTTGTAGTAGTTGTTGTTCCACGAAGAGGATGAAGAGGAAGAATTATTTCCACCATAGTACGCATTCTTGCCGATTCCATTTCCGCCCTTGCCGCTACCGGAAGTCTTGCCGTAACCTTTGTTCTTGCCCTTCTTGCCTTTGCCCTTGGTCTTCTTGCCTTTGCCTTTCTTGCCGTTTCCCTTTTTCGTCGGTGCCGAGGTCCAAAGGGTCGTCATCACCGCATCGCCCTGGTCGTCGTGCTGCCACTTCTTGTTTCCGTGTACATCATGCAAAACGGTGTCGAGCTTGGACGACTTGAAGAGCTGCTCGATCACATTGTGCATCTTCTCAACTGTCTCGGTGGTACTTGCTTCGCCAATTTTGCGCATGTTGAACGAAGCCTTGAATGCCACTGCTTTAAGTCCCGTGAGCCGTAATCCGGTATACAACGCGTTGCACAGTTCGGCATTAGTCGGAAGGTAACCATTTCCGCGCACGGTGTTGACCAAAACTTTGAAACGTGCAGTAGCGTCCACATCCGATTCACCGCCGGCCTTTTCGAAGCGTTGTAGCTGAGAATATTCGGCAACGTCAGCAAGTACGTCAGCCATTCCGCAATCGACCGTGATGACATGTTCCAAGCGTTCAATTTGCGTTTTGGTTCGGATCAAGTTCTGAAGCTTCGTGTCGTCGCAAACGTATTCGGCATCCTTGTCATGGGTCATAAAGTCGGCCCCATGTAACGATACGGCGTCGCAGATGTTGGCGTAATTTGGCTGGATGCCATGCAGCAAGATATGCGGCACAATTTTCGTAGTCGCGATATCGTGTTGAAGATGCCAGAGATTCAAATTGCGGGCGTAGGATCTCCATGACTGCGAAGGCTGCCAAATCGGGCAACTACTGTAAGCTTTTGCCGAGCTTCCTGCGAGAGATGGCAAAGCACACATTTTCGCACTGTGTGTTTGTCGGCTGCGAGGTTAATTAAATCAAAGTAACAACCTAACTAGGAGGAGGCCCGTTACTTAAAAAGATAAGACTTAGCTTATACGTGTCAGATAAGAATACTAGCAAGCGCAAGAAATAGTGTGGCGTGAGTGTTAAATTTTGTTGGACCTTCGGGGTGAGATTGCAAATTGGCACCGATTTGCAATCGCAGCCCGAGGATCGGAGAAAAAATATCTCAAGGAGTTAACCAAACACCATAGGGATCCAATCAGTTATGACCTTTCATAACTGTGTGCTAGAAAGTTTGAGGATGCAAGATGCTAAGCTACGTGAGCGAATGTTCCGAGTGGATCTATAACGATTAGTACTATCGTCGTGCTAAGCTAGTTGCCGTGGCGTATGCTCTGGAGGTTAAAACTATGATCTACTAGATCTTTTTACTTATTTACTTACTCAGTATTATCGTGAATTGTTTTTACTTATTTCCGGAATTTATTTCAAGTTTTTCTTACTTGTTGTTTACTCAAAGAACCAAAAACAAAAGAGGGAAAAACTGTCTATATGCATCTACGGGGATACTAAACCTAGTCGACGCTACCATGACAGATTCTTGCATATTGGGCTCTTCCTCCTCCAGTGAATGAACACGCTAAGTGCCAAAAGTTTTCTTGGGTTGAGTGGTGTTTATTCAAATGCATAAAACGCCTGTTGAAAAAGAAATTGTCAAAGTGTTTTTGTCTTGTGTGTGTTTTCAATGCGTTGTTACTTAAGTTCGTTTTTCTTTTAAACACTTAATTACTCAACTAAATCACTCCAAGGCTTTGGCTTTTCTTATGGCTCAACTCTCAACAGATTGCCAGCAAACAACTCAAACAGATTGGCGTAGTGTGGATTTCTCTCACTTCGTGCTAAATGAATAGTACAACTGCCAGTTTTATTCATTGATATTTGTTTTTGACCTATCATTTTTTCGTTCTAGCTGCCACCCTAGTATCTAGTATACCTCAATGCAACTTCTATCGTTTACAGCACTAGTTTCAACCTCGTATGATCACCCAGAATCCTCATTCCTGAGGTAGAACTCTGCAACCTCTCCCTCAACTCTTCAACTCAGCCTCCCGACGTAGCGCACGCACACTTGCAGGCAATGCTCGCGGGCGCTCCCGCAGAGGACCCCCCTGAAGAAGCAGAGCCGAAACCTCGACCATGGGTTGCGGCATTCAACATGCAGGAAGATCGACCTGGAAGACTTAACCATTTTCCGCCTGCGACGTCTACAAGCAGTGCTAAGGCTTAGTTGTACTTACAATCTTGCAACCAATAGCTAGATACACCACTCGTCCACCACTTTTTATTGATAGAGTCGGTTTGGTGAGTTTTGGTCAATATGGAAATTGATACGCAAGAAGATGAAGTAGAATAATTTCAACCCTGGTCTCTAAGATAGATAAAAAAGGAACGCGCGTTACGGTCGATTCGCACTTTGCGCCTCGTACTCACCCGGCAAATAGCTTTGTGGCATGGAAGGGGAGGCATAGAGGAGAATCCTCAGAGTACGAACCCCGATCACCAGAAGCGGACTTAGAACGCCTGCTTATCGGGGAAGAGCTCAATCTGCGTAAGAGACAATTACAGGGTATTTGATAGAGAATTTAGTAGGGTCGGTAGTGACTGGTAGTGGGCGAGGAAAGATTCGCTGGTTGGGTGAGTTTTTAGTTAGCAGTTGTCGTTGTTGAGATGATTACTTGCCCAGCTGTATATTATGTTGAGCATCTACTAGTAGCCACGGCCACCTTCGAGGCGCCGTGGTTTGGAGATTTTACTCCTGTAGTAGCATCTTATTGAGATGATAGCACACTTTTGAGATGAATCCTTGCCATCTTTCGGGATCTTTTCAGGAACTGTTTCGTCTTATCGATGGTAAAGAGTGACCATCTAAGACGCAATGATGGTGAAGCTGCCAAGATTATTCGCAAATTCAACAAATCGCTTTTTTGGAACGCGTCGAAATGTATGATGAAGAGCAGTAGCTTACTACCTTCGCATTCTAGTTTAGCGTTGAATCCAGCGATGGGGTGTCTGATATGTTACTTGAATGATTTTCACCGACACAAGCAAATGAAACGTGCACAGGTACAGACTTCTGGTAAGGAGTTTTCACGCGTGAGATTCTGCAAAACATTCGTTGTATTTTTTGTTGAATACTAAAGATTACGGGACAGTAGATGCTAAAGTGGTGGTAGTGACTACGGATAGAAGACCTCACTCTACAGGATTTCTGCTGGTTTCTTGCGTCTTATGCAAGTTCAACGAGGACTGTGTTCACGCGAAATTCGACACATTCCGTACTTGTACCTGTACATTTTGCGCGCCACGAGAGAAAGTGGTCAAATTTAGTGTATATGTCGAGGAAGGTATGACAACAGATGAAAAAGACTTCTAATTGCAGCAGGCGACGACAGCGTCTAAAGTTTGTACAGAAAGTTAGATTTTTTTGTCCCCAGAAAAGTTTTGATTGTTTCAAAAAATCTTGGTTCTTCGTTCTTGATGAACTTTCAGACACGAGAATCCTCGGGTGTAGTATCTTAGAACTTATTTACCCAGCAGAAGCAAAACTATCTTTCCATTCCAATTCTCAAAGTGTCTTACTCAAGTTCATCAAGTATTGTGTAAAAAAACTTGGTAAACCACTAGCAGAGGTCGAGTTCAAATAATTCAGTTTTTTGGGCTAGTCTAAACAAGAAAAAGATGCCTGGCGAAAAAGGTGTCGAAATCGAAATCCAGTACTGTGGCGGCTGAGGCTACAAAAAGCATTATGTTGCCAGCAAAGCAAAGCTGGAAAAAGCCCTTCAGGAGGAGGGCGCTGATCCGAGTAAAATTGAGTGGAGAGTGATTGCTGATCCCGGAACTACTGGTAGTTATGAAATACTTAGATCCTAATTTTGAAATCGTAAACTACATCCACGATCTCTCTCGAGATCTATGTATAATGTTGTCGCGTCTTTTTGCTGTTGCGATACTCAATCCTTTGAACAACTACAACTACAGGCAACTTCGAGGTAAAGGTCAATGGTGCATTGTTGCATTCGAAGAAGACCAAGCAACATGGCTTCCTCGAGACGAACGATTCTACGTTCGGTCTCGTTGCGGAAACCGTCCTCGATAAACTCCAGCAGTAGGGCGCACGCGCTTGTGTAAAAATGTTTCATTAGCATAAGGGGGCTTGTGCAATAGAAGTCACTGTCCAACGACGACGACGAAGACGAAAAAAGGTGTGGCCTGCGTCCGCACGACCTTGTAAGAACAATCTGCTTCGCATTTGTAGTATTTTTTAAGCAAGCAGATGACTAGTCGTCGGTCTGTGCAGCACGCGACCTTCTGGGGAATCCTCCGACCTTGGGGGGGCCGTAACAATGGAGTACGAGGCGGTGTCACTAGAACGCAGGTTAAGTTTTTTCTCATTTTACAACACCAGTGACGCGATTTGTGATAGCCTGGAGTCGAGTGACGCTCTTAGGCTGAATGATTGCTGATTTCATCGACCACTTAGATAGTAAAACTCCGAATGAAAATTTGATTAAGTCATCTTTGCTCAACCTCGAACCCAGCCGATACGAAGGAGGGCAATGAAAATGAAAATGATGCTGATTGTTCAGGATCGGAGATGAGAATCATTGTCCTGCAAATCTACTGTTTCCAGAAGCCTCACGTAATGATATTACACTTTCCACCACCTCTTTTGTTCTTCTATCCCGTACAGCACAGCAATGTCGAGAAGATAACGCGCCTGAAGATCTTCTCAGTTCGAAGATAACGCGTATGCAAAGAATGTTGCAGCAAGACCATTGTTCTCCAGAAATACGAAAGCCGCAAGGACTTAGATCACTGTAGTTAGAGGCTCTCGACGTCGCCTCGTATGTTCGGTCTTGATCAACAAGGAGATGATTTTGACGCCCCCCCGCAACCCGCAGAAGCACTCGCTGACGAGGGAACTGAAATCAAGAGAACGGGTGGGGAAAATCGAAATCTAGAAACTCTAATTGAGTATGAACATTGGCCGGCTTCACAAAGACACTGGGCGCGCATTTTCTTTAACAGATTTCTAAATAATATGTGAAGACGTTCTAATGTTTTCTTACCGATTCGCTTTCGCAGAGATCACAGCTTTGATATATTGACATGTATAGGCTGTTTTTTTCGTGGTTTTTGATTCCGTCCGGTTAATTGCTATCTTTAGAAAAGCTTGCTTGTGATTCATTTTCATCATTGGTGAGTGCAGCAAGATAGTTACTGTCAAAGGCTAGTCTTACATGAATTTCGTTGGATCAAGTCTCGGAGTAAGTATGTGCGCACTTATGGCGCTGCTCCCGCGGAAGGTAATACCAACTTGCTTTTTTATGTTGTAGCCACTAGTATCCTTCTTTTCTTGGATGTTTATTCGATCCTTCAATCATCTCATCGCATCTACGATTGATGAAATTATCTGCACGGAATAGGTACGGAGTAGCTTCGCCGCTGTATTGTTGTTTGTTAGTGTCCTAGTTTTCCCAAATTTGACTTGATTTTTCATATGGTAAATGGTGCGCTGTGATTCATTTTGATTTTAGTTGTCCGACTGGGATTGAGTAAGAATTTCCAAGATAGTTCACACTTGTGGGTCGATGTTGTTTCCTTGTCCATACTAGCATCCTTGTGGGTAGGAGTAGCCTTTCACATATCCGCGCGTCTTCCTAGACTGGCAGCGACAATGGCCGCTATGCAGGAGCCTCGACCGCAAGACGTGTCTGTGAGCCCATGGATACTGCACTTGCCTGATGCACAAGACTCTACTAGCCAGGACCCGAGCACGTGGTCGGCGCGCTGCCTCTGCTGCGTCAAGCCCGGAGGTTATGCGGAGCCGGATCCTCTGAAAAAGTACGGAGCCACTTCTAATGGACTTTGATATTTATTCGTGTATACTATGCTTTATCTGATGATTTAGGCGGCAAGCCCTTGACTCACTTGTTGAAAGATGTCACTAGATCAGTATAACTACAGTAGTTCGGAATATTCTCCCGTAAACTTTCGGTGGTTATTTACTCCATGACGTTCTTGGTATCCGATACTGATCCACCTGTCAAAAAAGGTATAAGCACTGGTCAGCGAGCCACGCGAACGCGCAGAGAAATAGATGCAAAAAACAGCACTTGCCAGGGTCCGTAGATGAAATGAATAAGATTTTGGCAGAGCGCAGGCGATTGCAGGATCGATACGGTGTCCACCCTAAAGATACGAAGCTGCACACAATCTTTTTCCTGCGCACGAGACTGGAGCCCGGTCCCATTCAGCGCGCATATATAGCAACTTCGCGCTTGATTTCGCAACTTTGGTCAAGGTGTAGGAAGAACATAGAGGCAAGCGATGGGCCCTACGACTACGCAGACGGGTACCTAAGCGCGGCACTCCTTCCAGTTCAAAAAACTTTCTAATTGATGGTGGCCGTCTGCCCGCATCGGTCTTTACCATGTTTTCACACACCTCACTTTCTACTTCTAGTTTGGTTCTTCAAGTCTGTTTCTTATTCTTTGTTGCTAGATGAAAAACCAAATCAGTCTGAGTATGCAACTGAGACAATAGCTATGGTCATATTTAGGTTCGACATCAGCGAAGAGGAAAAGGATAAGGAGCGCGACCGGTATGACCGCATCCTGGACATGTTGGACAGCGTGAAAGTCCACACCACTCGAGGCGAAGACCCTGCAACTCAAGACGACATTAAGACTTGGGCTTTTTGTAAATCTTTTCAAGAACTCAAACTTTGCTGTGATGAAGTGAAAGTAGCCCCGCGCTCGCATCTTAGGACTTGCTTCGGAACGAAATAAGCTGTAGCACGTTTTATCTGGCGACTACCTTCAGAGAGACGGTGGCCAAAGGCATTCCATTATGATGCATTTCTAATTTCGATGAGGACTCGGGGCATCGCGCCCACGGCTCGACTCGTCGGCGCTCGCGCAGTCGCCAACGACAGACGAGGAGCAGAGAGCGGGAACGCGATCGTCGTAGGAGACGATCTAATAGTCGGGAGCGAGGCCGACAAACGGAGGAGGATTTAGATCGAGATATCTATGTGCAGGATGAGGATGGCTGGCGCGTCGAGGAAGATCCCGACGTAGCGAGTTTGTTGCCTGAAGCGGACTATTTCCAGAATCTCGAAGAAGCGCAACTGGGAGATCAGTTAGGTCCGGCGCACTCAAACAATCAATTTGAGCCGCGAAATGGAGGGGGTCACAGAAACCGTTTTGGAGAGGGCCGCCACCGCGCCGAAACACTAAGCGAGGTACAAATGCCTAGTTATGATCTGCTCTTTCTTGTGGTGTCTGACACTGGCTATATGTATTGACTTCTTTCTATATGATGTGGCCTTCGATCGTTGCAGCGCGTTCACCAATTGTATCTGTGATCGTTTATCCGTGCTTGTCCTTTTCATATCCAATGCTTGAGTTTGACTGAAATAATTCTTCTCGCGAGTCGGAATCAGATACGAATGAAAGACATACTCTCAGAGTGACGCAATTCCATTCATATATATCTCTGTCCAGGACGCGTCTATCTCTGATGCCGCGGCACTGAAAGACGACGGTGAGACAGAGGACGACAGATTTTTTCCGCACGAGCAACAGCCTGAGAGGCGGCCTGCCACCAGAAGGCGAGCTACCTCACCTCCGCGTTATCGAGGGCAGGGAATGTACGCTCCGACACTTCGCGGGCGCAATCCATTCCGAAGTTGAGTCCTCTCATGCGATGGTTTTGAAAAACTTACACTTGTATTTTCGAACGCGTGTGCTCACATTGTCAATAAGCTCCAAATTTATCGAATGAAAAGAATATACCTACCCGATATTCTTTGAATGCAGCGCTGCGCGACCCCCTCTGCACTATTCCCCAATTAATCAGACTTTTCAATGGTACGAATATCGGCCTTGGTTGTTACCTCTAGAGCAGGTGCATGGATAAATGGGTGAATGTATAAACTGGACAAGACACCACCAGTCAGACCCAGTCCTCCATTCTTTATGGCCGTGCTGTCACGCAAGAGATTCTTGTGAAAGTGACGAGACTGGCTACGCAATATTTACAATCAGAAAGTCCAAGACTGGAATTGGAGAGACTCAGGACGATATGTTTACAACGGCTTTGATACTATGAATTCAAGCTGACAAAAGTTACTGTATCAGTAAGGTGCTTTCAAGCTTCACTGTCTGCTGTTGTAAAACAGACAGTATCCGCTGTTGTCAACCTTCACTGCTGTTTTCTGGTTCGTTCAGATACAATCGCCTAGAGTATCATCGTCATCTTCAACGTAAGTACACGGCTGCTCTCCTGTAATTTCACTCGGTGTGTGCTCTTGATTACATTGGCGCAAAGCATCCGCTCAACGCGGTAATCTCGCAACGACGCCTCTAAGGTGTAAAATATAGCCCGCTTTGTAATCGTATCATGTTGTCTACCTCTGTACGACTTGTTTTATAGGAAGTTGCGTCTCATCTATATCTACTTAAAGAGGAAGAGAATGATGGGATGTGCCATTTTTCCTACACGTCGTGGAACTGAAGATGGAAAGCTCTGCCATCTGCAAGGAGAGGCGGAGCGAGACAGATGCGAAGGACGATCGTGTCAAAATCAATCATGGCCTCTATGCATACGATGAGTCGCAGCTGCGAATCGACAAACAGCATGTGGAGTTTGCTTTCCCGTTTCAGAAAGAGCCTCGTCTGTGTGCGGTCGCTGGTTCCTGTATTCTTGTCGCGCATGAGGATGACGCCGTCCTCTGCTCGACACTGCTGGATACTCCCATCTCGGGTGCGGTGGCGCATGTCCCACGGGCTAGCGGACGAGCAGGTGGCGCTGTGACGTTCCACAATGGAGGTAGTTCCGACTTGGTGACTTTACCATCATCAACACCGCAAAAAACGGTATGCGGTCTTGCTGTACACGAAACAGGCGCTTGCGCGCTGGTCGTCGCGCGACAAGGAGCTTTCCACGAGCAGATTGGAGGGTCGTCGGCATCGTCCTCAGTCCGAGACCGCGAGAAAAAGGATGAAGATGACGCAGTTATTTTCATCGGCAGTTGTGTGTCCAATGAGCTGTGGTGCTCAGTGCCTGTCGCGGATCTGGTTCCGAAAATATCGGCGCCTGTACGATGGTACGTGTCGACACTTTGCTGGGCGCCGACGTGGGCAGATGATGCAGACCGCTTCTTATCAGAAACACCCGAAGGAGGTGCCACCGCTCAGACGAACCTGTCTTTGTTTTTAGCTTTGCAACCTGGGCCTGGACCTAGTGAAGGAGAAGGGACGCATAAAGACAGCGCCAATGCTGGAAACCTAACACGCATCGTAGCGCTAAGCGTATCGACTGCTGCTTCTGGTAGTGACATGCGTTCTGCAAAAGCAGGGGACTCCAAGAGCCTGAGCCGTTGTTCTGTATTATGGAGCCAGCCTTTGCCGTTCTTAGGGTCGAAGGTCTTGCGGCTCGAATGTCGTCAAACGGGACATCTGGTGGTATCTACAGACCAACGGATCCTCCTTTTTCAGAAGGCGAGTACCCTTGACTTGGGTGGCCTTTCGTCCGACCTGACGTTTGGCCGCTCTGCTGTGTCGCCGATAGGTACGACAGAAGCGGACTTCCGCTCGGCTGCAGTTGAGGTTCTCCCAGTCGGTTCGAAGCCACACGAAGGCGCTTATACTGCGGCTTTGGGCATCGACAGTTCGGTCGCACCGGGACAAGAGAACTCAGGTGTGCTCCTCTGCAGTCGACTGGGGGGCCGTCTCTGGGTTGCCGATCCGAGTTCTGGGCAAGTTCGCGCAACACTACGATTTCCGGTTGAGGATCGACAAGCCTGGGGCTACGTTGCCGCCTCAAGCGCACATCTAGCGTCGTGGCTGCCGCAGTCGTCTCGCCTGGTTACCTACTGCCGGCACACCTTCGGTCCAACTTTCAGGTTTTTACCCGATGAGGCGCTGGGAGAGCGAATTCTCGCAGTGGATGTCACAGATGAGACGCATGTGACTGAAGTCAAAGCCGATGAATTTCAGGGCGGCAGAAATAGACAAGTGTTAAATTTGACTCGCGTGCTGATTGTTACCAGTGTCGCCGTTCGGGTTTTTCTTTTGTCGGCGTCTCCCCAAGCTGACGCGCGGGAGCCTCTTTTCAGATCAAACGTTCTTTCGAGGCCTCCGGTCGGCTGGAGACTCGCTTGCTGTGCTGCAGATATGGTGACGAACTGGCGAGCTTTCGCTGGAAGAGCATTTTCGCGTCATGACCTGGAGAGTCTCATCGCTTTTTTCAGAACAGGTGACGAGCATAAAAAGGCGCCAAAAAGTTTTCGCGACTACGTAGATAGCTTGGGAGCGGCACCACTTCCGCGACCGCTGACAGACTTTCCTCAGCTGGGAAGCGATTTTTTCTCGGCGAGAAGCGAAAAACCAGGGTTATCAACATCAAGTCCTCCACCAATGCTGGCGATCGTTCCCGTTCGTGTCGACTTCGAGGACTCGCGGATGAGGACCGTGCCGAAGCTGGAGGCCTCGGTAGACTTCTGTGCCGGCTTTGAGGCACACAGAAGACCCCACCAGTTCTCTGACGACTTTGTAACTTTTGATCTGTACCAAAAACTACAGCAAGGAGCAGCTGCGCGTGACCCTTGCGAGTCGCCACAGGAAGAGAAGAAAAATAGCAGTCAACAGGTGACGAATTCGGTAGGGCGTCATGATGAACACGACCTGAAGCTTCCGGTAGTATCAAAGAACAACGCAAGTGCAACGACCACCAGCAGCTTTTCTGAATTAGATCATGTTTTTGGTACTAGCACGTCTCCGACCACGCAAGGTGAGGGTATTTCGTCTTTACAGTTGGGTCACGCGAGTGGAGGTGGCCAGGGTGAGGAGTTGCCGCCTTCACTGGATCCAGACCGACTGCCACCACTGCCGGCTTTTGTCGGGCTCGCCTCGATGATGGCGCCTCCACTTCTGACTCTGCCTGTCTATGCCTTGACCCAAGGAGACACGGTGTGGGAGGCATCAAAGGAGGTGTGTCACTGGGCCGACGCAGCATGGGCCTTCCTTCTATTGTTCGACAAACAAAGTACTAACTTGCCTCGTTGTTTCGTAAGTTTTTTCTGATATGCGCAATATCTAGGCGGTCAACTTACCTATGCTGCTTCCTTTTCTTGGTCTTTCTGAAGAGTTCTTTAGCAGATTTGTGAGAACTAGAGACTCGAAATAATGCATGATGCTATAGCCATTTCCTCTTCCTGTAAGTCGATACTTTGGTCAATGTACTCTTTATAGATCCTGGTGGCGAGGCTCCTCGGCCTCGGGATGCAGTGGTGGAGCAAGTTGCGCTCTCTGTCTTCGAGATTCTATGTCTTCGCTACGGCGGCGGCTGGCCAAGATTGACCTTAGCTCGTGGCAAAGGCGAAGCAGGCGTCGAGGATAGCCAAGACTCTGCGTGGTGGGATCATGTGCCTGGTACTAGCTAAATCTAGCTGCTACACAACGCAACTGCGAGCACCGTGCGCTGCCGGCGCGACTTTGCCCGGCGTTTGTGGCTAAAACGCACGGCCGCGCCCTAGGTCCTTAAGATCTAAATATGTCTGCTCAAATATCGTACCCCCTCTCCCAGGTCGTAGTGAAACGTGGTCGGAGATGGTCGCCCTTTCATTTTGCCAAGCGTTTCTGACGCCGGAACGCAGTGTGCGGGTTGCCTACCGCGCAAACGGGTTGATGTGGCGCCGTGTGCGTGATTGGGCACTCGACTCGACCTCACCTGTGGACCTGGAGCGCAACGGCTACGACTGCTACTACAGTGGGAGTATCCGCACTTCGGAACGCTATCGCTGCCTCCTATTGTCTTCGCGCTCAAACGCCGACATAGCATGTCTCTACTTTCCATGGATACTACCATGGAATCTCCTGGAAAAAGACGCTGGTGGAGCGGTAGCAGCGAATGACTCAGGTAGAAGCTGTGACCCGCAAGCAGGTCGTGGAGTAGGTGCAGAATATCAAGGTAATGAAGTGGCAGCAGTTTCTGTAGTGTCGGATATTTCTATTTCATCTCCGCGCCAACTCATTCGGTTCTGCAGTCGATTGTACGACGCGCTAGTTCGTAACCCGGGTGGCAGGGGAATGGCACAGAGTACGCTTCCTCGTGTGGAGCGAGAACTGCGGAAAAACTTACTTTTATGCTGACAAATACACGTAAAAGAAAGTTCTTCAGAAAGAGCTTCTAGTGGGATATTGAGACTAAGGCAGCATGTTCGCCCATCGGCAACGTCGGTCAATGCGAATAAGGTCGTGCTCAGTAGACTTTTAGACGTAGATCATGCATTAGGAGCATCAGCGCAAAAAAGCTTTTTCGTTGTTATGATCGCTTTCATGAGGCCAGCTATTGCGAGACGACCGGATCCTGCACTTCGAAGCACACCCTCTTTTGCAGACATTGCGTATTTCTACTCCAGATTTCTCCAAGATGCCCTTGCATACGAGGCAAAGTGTGGCTCGTGCCTGTCTGTCGCGACGGTTGCGCGGCGTCCCTCTTTTGGATGCTTTCGTGCAGCCTATGAAGTGGTCTCCAGCGATAAGCGATGTTGGAGCAAGATTTGTTTCATCTTCAAACTCAAAGGCGGTTCTTCCTGCAGTCGAGGGAACAGGCGATGGAGGACAGATTGTTGCGTCTGGATCAATAGTAGTGGATGGCGTTGAAGACCTTGGAGATAAGGCTCAGTTCCAAGAAAAGCCTACTAGTGCCGAGAACGCTTCAGGACCAGAGGGGCCTTTCAAATTCCAGTTAAAGTACCACAAAAACAGTACCGCTTGGGGAATACAAATGCAGCGGCACAGCGCAGTCGCCAGCTGGCTCGGTAAACACGCTCGTGTGCAGCATATTGTGTCTGGTGACATCAAGGGGACGATGAGGAAAGGCATGGGTCGGTCGACTGGACATGTGAGCGAAAAGTCGCGTGACAGAGCGAAATGGAGAGCTGCAAAAAGTTCGTCTATCATCGCGCACGATCCACTCAAGGACGGAACCTCTAATCGAGTGGAGGCGCTCGATGCCCTGTACCTGAATTCCTTGCGGGTATTGTGTTGTGAAACGAGTTCGTCCTGGCTGCGATTTCTGCTTGACCTTGCACCAAAAACATCGGCACAACAGCAAATTAACAGCAACACTATGATCGAGTCTACTCAAGAACAGCAGCAACGAGGAAGGGTGCAGCTTGATGTCTCTGCTGCGAAACGGATTATTCTACTCGCAGCCAGCGATATCGCATTGACAGGGTCCTTGATCTCGGACTTATCCAGTCGAATTGACGCCATGCCAGAGCCCCTGGCCGACGAATTACTCGACTTCATTTGGGTAAAAGTTTGACTTTTTTGCCGAGAAGTAATTTATTCTTAAAGGCCATAACTATTCCTAAGTACTTGCTAACAAAATCTACTTGACACTCGATTTATATAATCGTTGATATATCCGAGAATTTTGAAGCTGCTAAGGAAGACTATTGATACACGAGCTGACTATCACTAGACGAGTTGATGTGAAAGGCACATGAGACTGTTGATTAAACATGAAAGAAATGTAGAACACTCAATATTCCGAAAAATGAGCACGTGATTCACGTGCATGGTGTGATTGATTGTCGAAGGGAATTGTGTTCGGAAGAATCTACTTAAGTCTTCTTGAGAAGTCTAACGACAACGTATTCTTAGAGACGCAGCGTTGGCCGATAGATTATCAGCGATATCATGCTAGTTCGAAGATGTCCACGACAAGCAGAGTCTGATCTTGTTACAGTGTATTTTTGTCAAAAATTAAAAAAATGCCCAGGCCTGTGCGCAAACATCAAATGCTAAAAGAGTTTCGATATTTTCGTATCGCGAGGAATATAGACCCAGGTACAAAAAAAATAAAATCGTAGGTCGCGTGAGTGAATGAATGAATGAATATGAAGATTCCGCCTCGTGACAATATGGGCGAGGCGCCTGCTGCGTCGTGCACCGTGACATTTGGGGAACACACGACGATACCCGTTACTGTGGATGATGTCTTCGTCTACGAAAGACAATGTCCATTGCTAAACCGCAGTTTGACGCAGATCGAGCTGGCTCTACGCCGCCAGGACGGGGCAGCTACGAAGACGCGCGCGAGCACGACTGCGAAGCTTCGCCTGCCGCTACCTGTGAACATGCGTGTGTCCAAGTTCGAAATGCAGAGGAAATTGACTGAGCTTCTTTTTCCTGAAAATGCGCCTCTACTGAGTCCTTATGAAGCCACTCAAGCTAAGGCTCAAGCTGATCAAGACCAGTTGGTTTGGGTTCCAGCGACAGTGGTCGACAAAAAAAAGGCTAAAGAAATTGCGTACAAGGAGAAAGAGCGTGGTCGCGACGTCGCCGCAGGCGCGAACGTTGGTGGCAGCAACGTGTTTGAAATGGACATCTTTCCAGTGAAGCCGAACAGAGAGGTACGGTGTAGACTTCAGATTGTCGGAGAAGGAGGTCGCCCTGCGGTGGGTGAAGGTTCATCATCCATTTCTGCCGATGAAACTCCAGCAGATGCAGTTAGGTGGAGAGCTTTGTTTCCACTGGCTAAAAACTTTGTCTTTGAACGCAAGACTCTTGCACACGAAACTGATGGTACATCGATGGTGAAGGAAGCTGCAAGTCGTGGTGCACCGGCTTGCATGACAGGTGACTGTTTCGGAGCGCGTCACTTCGCGATTCGAGTGCCGAAAGTAGAAGCAAGAGTGCAGGATCAATTGTCGATTCCGAATGAGGCCGTCATCCTGTGGGACAATTCGGGAAGTATGGAGAAAAATTCGCAAGAGCGTGTCCGGAAATTACGCAACACACTACAGAAAGTGCAAAGCGCAACTGCTGGTTCTGCCTCAGGACCAGTATGCGTATACTACTCACTCTATACGTTTGAAATGACAGCGATCGAGACCGCGCTTTGTCGGACGACATCCGTAGACGAAGTAATCGCCTGCCTGGAGTCGGTACGCTACGACGGAGGAACGGATATGACAAAATTGGCAGCTTCGATTGGGAAAGTCACACCAGTTGGGACGACAATGTCCGACAAAAATGTCAACCAAAGAACGGAAATTTGGGTTTTCACGGATGGTGTTGATATCTTGGGTAGGACACCGAAATTTGCGGTCGCTGATGCTTCCGTAACCGTCCACGCGATCGCGCATGAGTCTACTGTTACGAACACGAGAACGCTGCGGGCCATCACGCTGGCAAATCCTCAGCGTCCGGGTCGCCTGTTGCAGAGCGACAATATTGCTACCGATAGTTACGAAGAGCTGTTTCGTCCGGCCGGCGCACGACTGCACCGCATCGTTCCAAATCAGAGCGATGCCGCGTTTCAAGAGGATTATGACGACGGTTTTCGTTGCACGCCGGACCATCGCCTGCAGCCTTTGTCGCTGCCACTGACCGAGGATGCCCTCGTCTGTGGCATAGTTGGAAACGAGGTCTCAAAAATTTCCATCGAAATTATTGACCAAGATGGCCAGATAAAGGAGTACGGAATATACCTGAACCTCGAACAAGGAGTTGAGCCTGGATCTGATCCTGCACCCAACATGATGAATTCCCTCAACATAATGCTGGCGTCGCCAAGTGGCTACCACATCCAACCAGACGGAGACGATAACTGTGCAGCCGCCATTTTAGGATATTTGTTCGCAGAAGCTCAGTACGAAGCGGTGAGTGGCGATGAACTTCGTTCTGGATTGGATCTGTCGGAACTAAAGCTGGAGCTCGCGACCCGCTACAGCTTCTGCAGCCCTGAAGCTTCGCTGTTGATGTTGCACACGATGAAGCAGTTTTTCGACAACGATGTGCCGCCACCTCTGACGCATCCCATGCGACCTCAATGGGAAGAGGAACAACGCAAGAAGGACAGTAAACAACCATCTTCGAGGACTACTCCAGCTAGAGATGTCACCAAAGGGCGTAGAGGACGAGGAGAGGAAGCATTGGGCGAGCCTAAGCGGGCAGAAGAATTCACAGAAACGACGTTGGAACAAGTGCGAACATTGACGAATTTCTTGGAGAAAGAACCGCTTTCGCACGGGGCAGGTAAATTTTCGGACTCCTTTTCGGAAAGGGGAAGAGAGAGAGGCGGCGGATTCCTGGGTGCTGCGACGGCGGCAGTCGGCCGTGTGTTCGGCGGTGTGAGGGGCAGGGGTGGACCACCAGGAGGAGCCTCCAAAGGCGACGGAAAATCTCGTGCAGCGGGGAAAGGGGGTTTTTCCGAGCAAGTAGAGAGTCTTTCTTTCTCTCAGGAGCGAAGTATGGGACACGGTGGTCGGAACGATCTTCTTTCCATGCGCGCGATGCCTATGGCTATGATGAATGCCTGCTCTCTTGAGGATGACGAGCCCATGCTGATGAGCGCATCACTAGGAATGACAACCTCAGCAATGGAAGTTGACGAGGAAGACTCTGACGGGGCAGACGACTGCCGCATGGACGACCCGACTTTGGGGGCCACTGCACGTAGCCTCGATAGTGAAGCCCCGCAAACTCGTTCACGCAATGACAGTGAAGTCCCGGGGACGCGTTCGAAGAAGATGAAAGTAGCCGGAGGTGCTAGTATTAAGGCTCACGATAATTCATCTTCACAGAGCACCTCTCGTTATTTGCTTCTCAGGTTCTGAAGAGATGAACGTAACAGATGAAATGTGAGCGCTAATAATGGAAGTACGGGTGAGACCGACTCTGCTCGTCCGACAGTTGCTGCCTCGGTAGATCCTCACGTATATGAGAACGAGATGCGAACCGCGGTCGCAAAAGCACAATTTGAGACAGACCGGAGCAGCTGGATCAAAACTTATTTTCACTTGCGAGAGGCCAACCGCGACTCTCCTTCCTTCTTTCTCGCTTGTGCGCGTGTACTACTGCATTGCAAGCAGAAAAACGAGGCCATTCGTGTAGTCAGCAATTGTCTGGAGTTCAATTTGGAAGAGCCGCAGTTGTTGCGCACCGTCGGCTATTTTCTGCTTTCCGTGGAAGGCGATGAGGAGGCCAGTTTACTCGCAGAGACGGTGTTTGACCATGTCGCTACCATCTGTCCTGTGGAGCCGCAGTCGTTCCTCGATATGGCGTTGTCAAGGTTCAGCCGCTGCCAGCAGCACAGTTCTTCCAAAGAAGCTGATTCTCAAGCTCCAGCAAAAAGTGTGATAGAGACGAGGACTTCTGCAATGACTCTGGCTGCAAAGCACGTTGTACGCGTGCTTACACATCGATGGGCCAACCGATTTTACGAAATTGAGTATCCTGCATTGCTCTTGCTCCATTTCCTCGAAGAAGCCTCGAAGGATAAGAAAATCGTCACGCGATTGCTCGACAACAATGCTGATACAATTGGCAGTGAATCTTCTGCTCCGGGAGGTAGAAAAAGTTACCCTGATAAGATTTTCCTCATTTACAGGGAGAGAGACCCTGAAGGAGCTGATGCTCCTCCCACAATTACTCCTGCAGCGTCAGCCGGGTTTACTCCAGGGCCTCGGCCGATTTTTATAGGGGGTTATACCGACAAGGAAGAGCAGCAATCGGCTGCAGCTGCTGTTGCTGAAGTGAAGCCACCACGCTTATTGGAGGTGAAGTCGCAAACTTTGCTGGTCCAGGCAGACCTGTGGAAACAATGTCAGCTGTGCATCTGGTTGAATTGGGACACGGACAAGACCGATTTGGATTTGCACGTCATTGAACCTTCTGGGGAGGAAGTGTATTACCAAAATCGATGGTCATGCTCCGGAGGCTACCTCAGCCGCGACTTCACGCAGGGATACGGACCTGAGGTCTATCTGTTAAAACGACCCGTGAAAGGCACGTACAAGGTGCAGGTGAAGTACTACGGCAGTCACCAAGACAGCAAGCTGACAGGTGCGACGAGCTGCGTCGTGTGGATCATGCAAAGGAAGGGGCAAGACTTGAACATAGAGTTTTTCACGATGCGACTTAAGAAACTACATGAAAAGCAGACGGTGATGGAGGTCAAACATTCCTGAGAGGGAAATGAAAAGCCTACTTGCGTTCTGAGGAGCACATATCAATTCTATTTCCAAGAATATGCACTTGGTTGATCCCTTGTTTAAGCTGCAGTGTGGGTGTCCAAATCGACCCTGGGGAATATACATGATATAAATTTGTTTGATTGATGTAGATGCATAGGAGAACGACATGCCCACCAAAATCATACATACATAAAAGTAAATGTTCAAGAGCCAGCTTGTAGTTGAAAAATTCTCGCCAAGGACAATACGTAGCGCATGATAGAGATAGAGTCCACGTGTTATTCCCCCCATCACGTTAGAAGTATAATATGACAGAGGATCATGTCCTTTTTTGTTCTCTTGATCCGAATGAACATAGAACCCCATCTAGGAGTATATGTTTTCGCTAACAAAAACATCATGTGCAGCGTGTTCTCATCGAGCTTCCTTAGGCGAAGAAAATTTGTTCCTTCATAAAAACCTGTAATGCACACTTTTGAAGGCAAAGCGATGATGAAGACATGGAAAAACTGGAAAGTATAAGCAACTAGCATTAGACGTCTTCAGACCTTCTACATGAAATTGGCTTCCGATAATTTCTTCATCATTTGCTCATGCTCAGTCGCGAAGTAGGACCCTATTTGTATGTTGTTATGGAATGAACGGGAAACCTCAATGAGGAAAGATGCCCGACGAGGGGTCTGTTGAAATTTTAGTAGGCTTTTGATGAGTGACAAAGCCAATGGTCTTCCGAAAAAAGGTGTTGCCAACGATAGAGAGAAAAGAAAATGTAGGTCAAGGGTGTCGATGAGGGTGCCAACGATAGAGAGGGTGTCGATGAGGGTTGAATAAGTAACGATGTGATGTATGACCCCTATACCATCCAGATAGGTGGTTGTATCCGCGCGCCTCTGCAGGCCCCATCCCCCTGAAACGCTTCTCTTTTATATCTGATAGTTTTTGTGATAATCTCATCGTCGTACTGTTGTTGATGACGTTGTAAATGCATGGAGCACTTCCTTACTTCTTCTACGACAAGGCGTCGCTTGTCGTTTTTTGATCCGTGATTTCTCGAGGATACAAATGAAACCATTGTGTGTGGTTTTGATTTATCGGAACTCGCTCGCACTACAAAAAAAAAAAAGTTGAAGTGAATTCACTTGGATTGTGTATGGCTCTTGTAGGAAAGCAGTTACAAATATATGATAGTGCTTGTAAGAATTAGGATCAAGCAAAATGGATTTAGACACGGAAGCTTCAAAAAACTCCTCGACGACCTCGGAGAAAGAGGGTCGGCAACCCGAGCGCGCGCCTTCATTGATGCGCCTCGACCTGAAACAAGATTTGCCGGAGGAGATCCGTCAAGATGGTAAACGGCGGAGGACGTCAGAGAGAGGACGCATTTGCCTAAATGGTGGCGAGCCGAGACTGCAGCGATTGGCTAGGTGCTTCACGGAAAGCGGGCATCGCGGAAATGATACCACTTCATCGGCTCTATCCAGAGGGATTCGCGAATGTGATAGAGATCAATATGTCTGGATGTTGGATGGCGACTACAATGTTAAAAAATTCAAAGATGGCTGGATGAGCATACTGGACGGATGTGACAAGTCGCTTGTAAAGCAGCTGCGGCACGCCTCAGCTTCGAATCAGTCAGATGATGCGATACATAAACTTTTTCTATGCCCGATCAAACTAAGTAACTCGTTACGAAGAAAATTACAAAGGCTTCGAGAAGTGCTGCCTCCGCATCGATAACTTCTGCCTCGATCTCGAAGGGCGGCCTTTAGCTTTGGAAATGTTCCCGTTCACGCCTCAGCTATCTCTGAAGCCGGCACTGAATCAGTGCGATATCTTGATTTTTTATTACGGCGATGACCTAAACCTGTTGCATCCTGCATTCGAATTTGTTTGGGGCCCCACGGTCAGTGAAAGAGTGGATGACGTCACTGATCATCCGTACGAAATATATCTAAGCCATGACGATCCGGCGATGATGACTAAAACAGTTTATCGCCGTGTGGCGCTTTTCGCCTATCGCGAAGGTCTTGATCACGCACTGCGAAACGGTCACTCTCTGGGAAGGTTTTTGACGCCCACGGCTGTTGATGTGAATGAGGGACCGGCTGTGCTTTTGCCAAAAATTTCGCAGATCTTGAAGTTTTTAGAAGAGAATGTGAGAGTTCAACAAGGCGTTACTGCGAAGTGGAAGCTTCCTGAGGATTTGAAAGCCGTGCGCCAAGCTGGAAGCACTGAGGATTTCATGCGACTCGTCGCCGTGGTGAGGCTGGACGAGGCCTCCCTTCAGACTCTGGCCAAAATAGACGCTGGCGAAGATCGGCGCAGACTTTGCGAGTTGTCGCATGCCTGAAGCATGCGCTGAGCACGGTGCAGCCCTCTTTTTGTGGTCTTACGCACAGTCTAAAAACCCAAATGCGTTCGGAAAAGCGGACTGGATCCGGGTGATCGGAGTGCTGGGGGCAAGGACTGCACAAGCGAAAAAAAAATGTTCGTCCGACTTGCGGCGTTTAGATGGCGTCAACAAATCGCGTTGGACGCTATCCTGCGACTTCACGTCATCGCCGCTTCGACTCTTCGACCGTGCTTTTGAGATCCTACTCTACCTGTATGAGGTGAAATACAGAGAATGAGCTGTCGTTGGAGCTTGATCTACGGACGAGGAGGCGGACGCAATATTCTGGGCCGTCAGATGTGTTTATCTGAGCGAGTGGAGAGATAACTCGGGTCCGTATTGCTTCCGCGCTCTGGTGCAAGTGCTTTCCGGGTTTTTCGCGTTCGACGAGGTGGAATGTGGAGGCCTCAACCGCCGCCGCAAATGGAGGGCTGCTGCACCAAGGCGCATCGTGACGGAGCTGCAGGAATGCGAGGCAGAGTTCTGGGAGAGCGATTTCGTGAAGCGCCTTCATGGTGCTAATGCTATTGAACCAGGAGTACTTGTCGCAGCCCTTACTCATGCGCAGTGTTCTATTTCCAGTTCGGTTAAGAAGATATGCGAGCTTCTTATCAAACGGGTGCAAACGGATACTGCCAAAATCCGGACAGGGTCTCAAAGTCAGCACATCATGATGGGTTATCATTATTCCCCGCGCAGCATGGGGAAAGAGGAAGTTGATTTCTACACAAAGATTGGCCTGTTTGCTACGAAAGTCCCGGAAAACCGCCAGCATGTGGCTGATTTTTGTGACTTGGCTTAGGAGAATTTCGAATACGGCGAGATCCGCAAGATCTTCTGGAAAATTTTTTTCAACACTTGCGGGATGCAAACAACCGAGCAAAGCCTGCACCTTTGGAGTGTGTAGTACCCGTGGAAGGGATAAAGCGGATATATGAGGGTGATATAATCATACAGCGCTTGATAAGTTTTTGGAATGATGCAACAACGCGTGATACAGGGATCCTATGCGGCGACCAAAGTATGGGTTATCAACGTAAAAGAAACAAAGTGGTCCAAGATTCTCGTGATAAATTGATAGCCAGAGCAAGCAGGCTGCAGCCCGTCCTCTCCGGTATTTGTTCCGATGTCAAGGTGGTGCAGACGATCCATGGTTACTCTCTTTCATTCACAAAAACAGCTCTTTATCAGTATCACCAACGGCAAAATGCGCATAAACGGGCTGTTGCGGAATACGAGTCATGTAATGACGAAAGCAAAAGCCTGGAGGAGAAAGTTGCACACTTTCTGCAGCTCCCGAAAAACGAAAGCACAAATCCATGAGTAGGTCCGTTGTCATCCATGGTTCTTCGTTATGATGAACGCCTCACTTTGTAAAAGGAAAAGGACCCAGCATATGAATTGTATATGTAGATGGGCGCTTTGAGTCTGCTTTCTTATATCTCACCGCTAAATGAGTGAGATTGATTATGATTGACATAGATACCGGCATATCATCAGAATTGATTCATTGCATCTTCTCTGAGCTGTGACAAGTATACGCTTTTGCGTGTTGACGTAAGAATACTTTTTTTGATTGCATTTTTCTTAAAAGCTTGTTCTTGTTTTTCAACTGAGCACGAAGGCAGATACGCTTGCGTGTTTTCTCCACCCTTGGCATAGAGCTCTCATTTTTGCACAATTTTCGGTCAAAGTTTTTGCCTAGTTACTGTCGAACAACGCACTCTGTCTTGTATGAGCTGCGGTATCTAATCAAAAACGAAAGAAAGCACAACCAAATCTACCTACGACTATTCGGTTTTATGCTTCGGTCCGAAATAAATCGGTTGGGAGGGATCTATTCTAATGAATATGGCAAGATAACTCCTTCTCGTCATCCCCTCACTTTCTCGATTTATATGTAAGTCCGCTCCTCTTTCCCTGAAAGTATTGCTTCGCCGCTTGTAGTTTGTAGTTACCTTATTTTCGATCATTTTTATAGAAAGCAAGGCAGACACGAATACGAACAAAATAGGTGCGGTCGTTCAATCTACTTACGATGTTTCTAAAGATCAATCTACCTTACCAGCGCTTCTCTTGGTACCCACTGCTCTCGCAACTAGGACGTGAATAGGACAAGAATTCAGCAATTTTGGAATTTGACAATCAACAACAAGTTTCCTATTAGCATCTTCGCGTTCGCGAGAGACGCACAGATATCGAAGATGGCTACTGCGCAGCAATATCGTAAATGGCTCATGCTGAGCGCCCTTGTGTGGGCTTTGTTGGGATGCTTTCAGGGTTTGGCGATCTCTGGCTTCGAGAATAAGAAGATGGGAAAGGCCGCCTACCACCTGGTACGCCATTTCAGCGAGTTGCTTTTGGGCTGCGCGCTGGCTTTTCCCTACACGTCGCTGTCCGCGACGAAGCAGAAGTTAAGAGAAGATAAAGTTGTGATTAGTAGTTGTACCTGATCTTGTAGCAGGTTTATTTTTACAGAACGAAACTCTTGTCCGTGTTTGTCATAAAAATCGTTTTTTTATTGTGCTATAGTTCATTCTGAGTCATAATTCGATTCAATAGCACTCCTCGGCGTTGTACTAAGTACTTTCTGCAATGAATAGTGTGTCATGAAGATGAACATGATTCACAAGAACCTTCGCTAACTTGCATTGCCTTCGTGTGCTTGCAGATTGCGCCGCTGAGCAACTTCGCTTCGTACATGATCATTGCCATTACGAACTGCCCGAATCCGTTGTTCGCGAACTCTCCGGAACTTGTTGCGCCAGGCTCAGGCGAAGGGAATATCTGGACTGCACTTTATGAGACGAAAGAAGTTATACTTTTTTCTGTGTACTGTTTAGTTGCGTTAGTTTTCGATTTCGCCTAAAAGTCACTTTTTTTGTAAAAGGTCTCTATTGTCCAATGGGTGCTTGTTAAGAAGAGTAGTTGTTAGAGTAATGGAAAAGCAAAAGATGACATGTACAACAAGACATTTACAATGTCAGAGAATCGGTGAAAACCATTGGATACGATAGGCACTAGCTACTCTTTCTGTCAGACGTTGTAGAGGATGGTCACACTTCTAATGTTTTTCGACCTTCGGTCTGCAAGGTGTGACGGCCTTCGTTACAGTCGTGGGTCTGGGGCTTTTGATCTACGGCGTGGCTGAGGCTGACCCTGAAGTTGGAGAGCAGGCTGCAGAGGTAGTGGCTGCCCCAAAGAGAGGCAAGACACCGATGAAGAAAAGCAAGTAAGTAATAGTTGCATTGTAATAGTTTGACTTCACTGTGGTAGTGCTGTCAATGACCGACGAGGGTGATCTGAAAAGGGCCTTCGAGGATCGTTTCTTCATCACTATGATTGACGGTTTGAATGAATACAAGCAATGGATTCTGACGACTGGAAAGACATTTGTTAATGACAGAATAGAAGGTAATCTACTTCCACCAAGGGCCTTCGAATTTTTGAGGTACAGTAGCAGAAGTTGTAAAGGGTAGTCTAACTTTCATGACACAACTCGATGTTTGCATGATATTCATACTGTATTTTTCCCATACATCAGTATTCAAGTTCAAAAGTTTTATTGTCTTTCTATCATGGAGAAAGTTCTGATGTGGAGGGTGCAGTTGAGCAAGTTCTGTGAAAGCTGTAAAAAGAGAAATGTTGATGAAGCTGGCGTCCAACACACCTCGACAATGTCCATGCTCTCTCTTTTACCCAGTAAGCACTCAAAGCATGATGAAGGAAAACTCACAGTGACCACATATGACCACGAGTGGTAACCCAAAACGGTTATAATGTGTCCCTCCCAAACCTAGAAGAGGTTCATAGATCGTAAACGAAACGTTAGAACAAGATCATTTTGGCCAGAGCCCTACGGTTAGTTCTGTGTGGACGTACAAGTGATAGTAGTTGTACAAACTACACTCGTGCTCGTCAGAGGGAGAAGTTGGATCAAGCGGACCTAACTGATTGCGTGATCCACCGGGTGACAGATCCAGTCTCTGCTGCCAACTTGTTTTCGAGATCCAAATTATGCGAAGTAAAAATCAGCCTGCCAGCGTGACGCTTTCATGAAATGATCAAAACAGATGGATCAGTATCAGGAGATTGTTATGACGAAAGGTCGCGTCCTAAGCCTGAGATGCTAAACATAAAAGCATAGCTATGTATAGTGACATGCTGATAGCACTTTTATGGACCACTCCTGTTAATCACATTCATTTCGTACGACAATGCAGAGGAGTTGAATGAAGGCGTCATCTTACTAGAAAGAAAGGGCCATTTTTTGATTAGAGTTGTGTACATACATTCAATCTGAAGCGAGTTGCAAGTCTGAGTAGTGATCTAGTGTAGTGGTAGAAATTTCTATAAATTTCTTCAAGTTTTTCGAGGTTATACTTCTCAGTTTTATCTCAAGCATTTTGCACGATGAGCGATCAAACTTTTGAGACTCGCAAGCGTGACCGTCCCGTCGACGCGACGGAACTGCATGCGGAGAAGAAAAAGAAGAAGAAATCTAAGAAGACTGACGTTCCCGTGGTGACGGATCCGAGCTCTCCCTGCAGCTCAGCCACAGAGGAAGTCCCACCTCCTTCTGTGGAAGTATCGAAAAAGAAAAAGGAGAAGAAGCAGAAGAAGGCGACGACGGCGACTATTGACGAAGCAACGAGTGTACCCAGTACAACATCAGAGGAATCTGAAAAGGCCACGACGACAGTGAATGACGAGGCTGCCGTCGGGAAGACCACGACAACTTCTGGCGCCGATACCGCTGCCGCCGAGGCTTTTCGTGCCGAACACCATGTGAAGGTGTCACTTTATTCTGCTGCTGGCGAAGGAAGTGCGAGTGGGGGCAATAGTGCTTCAACAACTTCGTCAACAAAAGAGATTGCTTGCGACGTCCCAGATCCAGTTCAGAGTTTTAAAGCAGCTCCTTTTGCGAAACCAGTCCGCAAATTGCTAAGTTCCATGTTCGAGAAGCCCTCACCTATTCAGGCGCAGGTGTGGTCAATCGTTGCACGAGGACACGATCTTGTCGCAATTGCCAAGACTGGCAGCGGAAAGACACTTGCGTTTTTGCTGCCATGTTTCGAAGCTATTTCTGCCAAGATCTTGTCGTCAGAGGTGAAAAAGCAGACGCGACTTCTAGTCTTGGCACCTACGCGAGAATTGGCTGTGCAAATCGCGGCTGACGCCGAGAAGTTTGGGGATAAGCAGCTCTCCAACGGAATTACCACAGCCGTTGTTTACGGTGGTGTCCCGAAAGGACCGCAAATTCGCGAGCTAACTGGCGGTTCTACGCCGCCCACTGTTGTGGTCGCGACACCGGGTCGTTTCGTTGACCTGCTCACCGATAAAAACTCAGAGGCATTGCAGAAGTACGCTAGAGCCTTTGTCAAGAGCGTCACGCACTTTGCGGTTGACGAGGCGGACCGCATGTTGGAGATGGGATTTGAGCCGCAGATGCGGGAAATCCTCAAGATGTTGCCTGGCAGCCCAGACTCGGGGACTGCACCACCGCAGACACTACTATTCTCTGCAACGTGGCCCAAGGGCATGCGCAAACTGGCTGCGGCTTACATTCGTGGTGGAGGTGAGGAGCAGAAAACAACCTCAGCCTGCTCATCTTCAAAGGACGAGAATAGCACAAGCGCACGACGACCGTGCTGTTTGCAAGTGAACGTGGGCGAGACGGAAGAGCTGGCAGCGAATAAGGCCGTGAAGCAAGAGTTTTTTGCAGTGCATGACGACGCGAAAGACGGGAAATTGTGGAAGATCCTTGACGGAACTGATGAAAAGGCTGATAAGGTTATCGTGTTCGCGAACACCAAGAGGCGCATTGCCAAACTCTCTGGCGATGTCTGGGCCAGCGGGTACAAGTGTGCTGTGCTGAGTGGCGACATGACGCAGGCGGACCGCGACAAAGGTCTTGCCGACTTCGCGCAAGGTCGAGTGCCCTTGCTGTTCGGCACGGACGTGTGTGCACGAGGATTGGACATTAAGGGCGTGACCCACGTGATCAACTACGACATGGCCAGGGACGTTGAGAGCTACATCCATCGCATTGGCCGAACGGCGCGGGCTGGAGAAAAAGGGACCAGTATCACCTTCGTCAACGAGGACTACGATCTTGGCTGCTCACCGGCATTGGTCAAGATTGCACGTGAAGCGGGACAAGACATACCAGAATGGTTGCAAAAGATGGCGGATAAGAGCGCAAAAAGCGGCAAAAAGGTTGACAAGTTGTGGAAATACTAAAAACCATAATTGCTGCTCGTCTTGTTGGGAGGAATGCTTGTCGAGAAAAAGTACCCAACAATCTATATGTTCGCTGTGGTCTTAGAAGTAGAAGATATCGACATGCGGATTGACCTTGTTGTTCCGAACCCCTGTTGGCAGAAGCACACGCCCTGTGAACGATAGTAGGGTCGCTGTGCCAGTTTGATATTGATAAATTGCAACGTAATTCCAATGACAAAACACTCATGGCTTCTTGGTAGTCTCGACGACGCTTCTTGAAATAGGGCTCTTTGTGTTCAATGATAGCATCTCGACAATGGTGCATGCTCGTGGCTCATACAGTACTCTTTTCGACACTGATCCGTTCTTCTTGAGGGACACGATTTTTTTTTAGGTTTGTAGTTGATGTTGACTGATTGGGATCGGGAAGTGGTCCCATAGCGGTTCTGGAGTGGTTATCGGCCGGAACTGATAGTACGATAGGAGACGGAATCCATAGGAAATGACTTGGCTCTTGCAGTAGTAGTAGTAGTAAATCCTCAGAGTTGAACGGCATAGAAATGGCGTCGAGAGAAAGACCACGAGAGTGAGTCAACAATTTCTATACCGCGAAGCGAGCATCAGACTGAGTTCTATCATGCATCCTCGTGTGCGAGTCGATTTTTGAGATTTTGACTCTGACGGTGAGTAGATGCTCAGTTGGAAAATCACACTTGATCTGCCTGCCAAACTATTTGATGAGTGGGAGGAGGTATAAGGCCCTCTCCTAGGGAGTGTACAAAATCAATACTCATAGTGAATTTGCATCTTCCCGTTTCTTTTGAATGTGGTGAGACCACATCATTATGTTTTACTGCATAGTAGATGACACTATCTTAGCCCTCCTCCAATTTTGTGTCCGTTCTCGAGCCAGCGGAGAATATCTTGTGCCTGCGAACAAGAGTCGCATGGAAATTCAGCCCAGTAACAGCTCTAGTTCAATACCCGACATAGAACAGAAGCACCTACCTCGCCTGGATTGCGATGATCACCTGCCGAATTATGTGCATCTACTTTCCTCCTGTCCTACCTGCATCAACTACACCCTAGCAAGGCACCCTCAATGCAACATCATCACATGTAGAATTCTTTCCGAGTCCCAATGCTCCTCCACCCTCAAGATTCTACCCTTGTACTACTACAGAACCATATTGCAGGAAGTAGCGGAACACAAGAACCAGTACAAGAGCGGTGCGAATGACGTGACTGAAGAAGTTGATAGCTTTACAAGGACTTCCGCATGTTTGTTGGCGGTAAGCCTAGCACGCTCGTTTTGCGGTCGAGCACGAAATGCCACAGTGAATTAGTCTGGCTTCTTCAGTGCCGAGGTCACTACGTACGGCCGCCAGAGTGAAAAGAAGCTACTGTAGTTTGGTTTCCTCTGCTTACTTGTACAAGTTCTCGTTGCAGCCAGTGTCCTTGGAGCCAGAGCTCGACTTCTAGAAGTGTCGCTGCATGAACAACCACCGATACTGCAGCCTGAACATTTCATATACAGCTGCTACTGCAGCTTGGAATTGCCGTCAACTACTTCATGTACTACGTCGCTGTTCCTTCATGTACAGCGTCAACACACAATTGCAGTTCCCTGAGGATTATTGATGTCAGCTACAACAACTAGTTCATCTACAACGCCATCAACATCATTCGTGTGAAAAACCGACTGGGAGATGGTTCGGGCAGTGAATAGACGCGCGCTCGTTTCGAACCAGAATCGGGCTGTTGGTTACAAGCGATTGCTTCTCGTCTATCCTATTTTAAGGACAGTAGTTTATTCTCACTATCCTGTGTCGTGGAGTAGCACCACGGGTCGAAAGCTGCTTGATTTGAAGGGGAAATCCGTTGACAAGACAGCAACTCACGCGACCACGGATAGTGAAAAACTACCTACTTTAAGTACTGTCGTTTGGGTGTTTGCGCTATTGCTTCTCGTGTACAGCTGGGCTGTCTTCCATATTCTGCCCGGTTGGCACCACGACGACGAAATCATACAGCAGATTCTCTACCGCTGCTTTCCACTCTCACTTTTATGACGAGTTGTTGGACATAATTACTGGGCTGGTTAACGTGAGAATCGCAAATCGATTTTCACGAGTAGCAGTACGTTGGTGGTGGTTATTAAGTGTGGGACCAACTACATCTATTCGTACCCCTGCGATGTTTTTGAGTTTTGAAGCGTCATTATCATTTTGATTTTTGTTTCTCCGAGAGAACTTCACTTCTTCCCTCTCCTCTTCTCTAATGTAACACAATTTGTGTCTAGGGTGCTTTCTTGTCTGGGCGGTTGTTAGCGTTGGGCCGCATCACTTCGAGGAAGACCTGCGTTTCACATCGAACGCACGGCCCATTCGTTTCAAGTCGAAGTGGCACAAGTCGGCAATCACCTTTTACGTTTAACAGGATTTTCTATTTCTGGGACAAGTGGGTTTTTTGTGTCCTTTGCTTAGTAAATATAAATGTAAATGTTAAAGATCACTACAAGTGTGTGTTGTCCAGGCTACATGTTGGAAGAAGCTCCTCTACCACAACTACGAAGAAGGAACCCGAGGGAATGATGAAGAAGGAAGTGTGACTACGGGAAGTGTGAGAAATCAATCTGTATTGTGAAACAAGGAGCATAAAAGTATCTTCAGACCCCTTTACAACCTCTTTCTTCATGGCAGAATCCTGACCGGTGTTTCGTTGCTGTTGCACGTGCGTTTAGTCGGTGAGTACTGGGGCAAGCTGCAATCTCTATGGCTTCGTTCTGACGTGGTGAAAGCACTAGAATTCGCTGAGACGAATGCGCGGCGCCGCGCTCAACAGCGGGTCTTCCAACAGAGTCTCTGGGTGGCTGAATTGCAGGCACAACGCAAACTTCTGAGCGTTCATGGAAACGAGGAACAGGATCAGAACCTGTTTGCACATCACAGAGGGAGCAGTAGTTATCCAGAACAACAAGCGAATTTGCAACAAAGCAATTATGTTCATCAGCAAGAGAGTCTACAACAACAACAAAATCGACAAGCAGAACCGCAACAGCAGCAGCAGCAGCAGCAGCAGACTCAAGGTCAAGGACAACAAGAACAGCAGCAACAAGTAGAGCAGGAACATGTAGCTGATACTAGCGAAAGCATTCCCGTTTCTGCGGAACGACCACAGGCTGTCGTGGCCGGTTTGAGTAGTCCTCCAAGTGGGAGCGTGCCAACAGAGGTGCATGAAGTAAACCCACAAGAGCTAGTTGTGAAAAGGAGTCCTCAATCCGCAGAAGACACCGAAGCCGCACCAAAGCGTCGATTTCTTTCAAAAAGAAGGCGAGAGGAAACCTCAGCGACACTGTCAATGGCAGCAAATGATTCTACTCCTTATGCAACGACGAGGACAACCACTTCTAGTAATTTCAGAGACCTCCTGTTTGATCGACGTACTACGAAGACCAGGAGCACAACGATCTTGCCAAGGAAGGTGGACAAGAGGCATAGAAGTATTACAGAGGAGAAACTCACCAGACTACATCAAGACACGACAAATATTAGCATCGGACAGGCTGCAGGCCGCGACAGCGAGGGCGCGGAGGGCCAGAAAGAGCAGGAGGCTCAGCAGGAGCAATCCAGCGAATCTGACACCGATGTGGATGCGCCTTCTCCTTCAGCTCCTATAGATTGGGGCAACGACGAGTTCATCACTGGCCGCAGACTCTCTTCTGCAATACGGGGGGGCGAGGAAAAGAACACGCACTCTATTCCTATAGCTTCTCCTAGTGAACAAGAACCCTCCGACGACGACGACTATATTTTTCATCGTTCTTCCGGAAATATTTACAACAAAGCGGCACTTACTAACCGCTATAGTTCGTTCTACGAGCCACAGGCTCTGTTTGCCGGCATGGTGCCCGCACTGGACGATTTAGTGGGTAGTGGACTGGCAGGAGACGAGATTTTCGAGCCTTTACCAACGGCCTACGAAAGACTCGGGTTCGCGGGGAGCAACCTTGACACTGGCCAAGGGATGCCAAGTCGATTAGTAGAGCAAGATCTTCAAGGAATCAATCGCAGTGAGCCCACCCATGATCCTGTACGAGAAGATGAAGGGGACTATTTTGGAAGTGAAGATGAGGTGCAAAGGTTCACAAAAACAATAATACGGGATCGAGAGAGTCACAACAAGAACAATAGTGTAGTCATTGATGATGACAGAGAACAGGAAGTCAATGATGAAGAAGATTTCCACTATGGTCGAGGGATCGGAGAGGCGAAACGGGACGTCCAGCTAGTAGGAGATCACATAGTTCAACAGGAGCAGGAGGACATTTCTGTCGAGGATCGTGACGATGAAGCGTCGCTTGTGTCACGACGGCTGGCTGCTGCAGCTCCAAATCCTCCCTATCCGGGGAGAGTCGTGCCGCCTGTGAGTCGTGGCGGTGGAGTTCGTGGCCAATCTTCAGTGTCCGCCGTCTCGCAGTTGGCGTACGAGGCGAAGAAGAGAAAGCACTTGGAGCCACGCTGCATCCTCTTCGATCAACTAGCAGAGGGATTTTCAAGGCGCCTGTGGGACTTTCGCTGTTTTAACCCAGAAATGTCGCATTTAGTGCAAGCACTAAGCTTACCTGCGAATCGAGCAGATTTCGTACTTCCACCTCGCTTGTTCTTCTGTTGTTCGGTTCTTGGAGTTCTTGGGAGTGGTGCACATTATTAGAAACCTTTGTCCTTTTCTGCCTCTTTGGAAACCTTTGATTTCTCTTCATGATTTCTAACGACATTTTGAGTTTTTCGCGTTAAGAAGTGTCGTGCAAGATCTGTCACAAGAACTTATATTTGAGTTTGAAGCATTCTGATCCTCATCGATCCAAACCAGGACTTGAATTCTGCGCAATCTGGAGATGGGAACGAGCTGCGGAAACAGCAAGAAAATTTTCATAAGAAAGCCGAGTGCCGTGAAAATGATGCTCAGCCATACCAGTATTGGAGCTGGCTCTATCTCAGGGCACGACACTCGGACTATTTTCAGCGGAAGGTCTTCCGAGCCCCGAGTTTTGGAAACCGGGACAGGGAACGTCGGGCACAACTATGTCGAAACTTCATGCGGTCCGAGAGACTGCGCAGTACGAGCACGAGCGTGCTGTTTCCGGCTGTTGTCACCACCGAACGCGCACGACAGAGAGCCTACCGACAAAGCCTTGTGACAAATCCGGTAAAGTTTTTCGATTTTAGAAGAACTTCTAGAAACCAGTTGTACTGCCTATTAATGTTCATCTTGACTTCTCTTATAAATATTTTCGTGAGTGAGAGTGAATGAATTATAGCTTTCGAAGAAGCCACGACGAACTCACTTTCTTTGACCTTAAAAAGAGATCGCGATTTTGTGATTACCATTATTTTGTCATTGTAGCTGAACAGGAAGAACTACAGGTCAGCAGCACCGCCGAACCGGAGCAACGAGACCAAACGACGACGTCCAGCAGCACCGATAAGGGAAAGCTGAAGCTTCATTACGTGTCGGAACAGACAGTGATCAAACGTCCCTGGTTAGACTCTGTATCGAGGGATCTATTGCTAGTGAACCAGAGTGGCTTGGTGCATAGCGAAGGCATGGCTGAACTGATCTCGTTTCCTGTGGTGCGTGTCGACCCGGTCCGGTTTTTCTCACAGGAGTTGGGACTCTGCAGCTGCGAGCATCGCATTTTCAAGCCAGTTTCAATCTCATCCTCGTTGTTGTTTTACGCCTGCGCCGCAACAGATCGAGCCCTCGGGGAGTTTGCGGAGGAGGTGAGGCAGAAATATGTTTCCAGGTTGTTTTCGGAGCCGGGAAGCAGGGAAGGTGCTGCGCGGAACAATGATGTGGCTGATGCAGATAATAGTCTAGCGGTTTTTCTTCGGAGTCTCTTTCAGCGTGAGCCTTCACCCGCCAATCTGGCGACGCTATTTCCAGAGCAGAATGCGGCCACTGGACTTCGCATGTCTGCCTTGGAAAACATGTCGTCTGCTGCTGCGCAACAAGGGCGCAAAGGACCTGGTGCAGCGCGTGGCAACGCTGGCAAAGATGGAGGACAAGCACGAGATGGCGAGACTGTCGCGGAAGAGCTGGAACGACAGAGGCTCGTTGTGGAAGAGCAGCGTCGACAGCAAAAGCAGCGTCAGCAGTGGCTTGCGGCGGAGATTCAACGTCATCTATTTTCGGTTTGTTGCATTTTCGTCTCAGTGCGCGATCAAATTCCTCAGGTGTACAACCGTAAAGCCTGCTTGATACGCTTGTTCGGCCGTCCCGACGGCTTCGACGTAGCGAGACACTATGCGTCGGTTTTCAAAACGTTTGTCCGCGATTTCCAGCAGCAGCTCGTTTTTCCGAACCTTATCCAGTGGCCGGGCGGCAGCAAATTTTCACAGCATCCAGGCACGGTCCTTGCGTACGAGCGTAACTCGAACACGGTGCGTGTACTGTTCCAGATGGCCGGCGGCTACGTCGCCGAACGAATTTTGCGGGTCGGGAAGACACTCAAACTCAAGGAACTCGAAAAAAACGCAAACTACTACGTGGATCAGCAAATGTTCGAGCTCACGCACCACCGCGCCGACGGCTACTACCTGGATTTCCAGAAGTGCGGAGGGCTTCTGGCGTCCTCGCGTGTTTCGGAAATGATTAATTTGCGCTTAGGGAGTCGCAGTGCGCCAGGACAGAATCCTTTTACGAGAGAGACGGGAGCGAGTGCAGCGAATAGCGTTTCTGTACCCGTTCTTGGACCTCTTTTGGCCGACGATCCAATAACCCGAGGTGATCAGCATCTGCAGTATCGCAGCACCGGTCAGGAGCAATCTGCCACGAGTCAGCGGCCGATGCCCACCACGCAAAATCGACCTTCGAATTTAGTGCCTAGCACACCCGCTGGTGCAGCGGGATCTAACTATAATAACAGGATGTTCAGAGGAGCTAGTGCCCGAGACCAGAAAGGTGAAGAGCCGCAAGACATCAGCAATAGATTCTTCTTTGCGCGGTCGAAAGAGGAATTTCTCGCAATCCTAGAGGGGGCGGGAATGGGACCGCCGCGGAGCTTTCTACCCCAGCTTTTAGCTACATCGGATACTGTGCACGAGTGCTATAGAGAATTTCTGTCGGACCCAGACGGACAGGAACGCTTCCTAGCGGAGTTCAAAATATTTTTCCAGATGTGTCCCTTATATGATGACAACACGAAGAGCAAGCATCGCTCGAATGGCATAGCGGAGGAAACGCGTCAAGAGGAGATCGGCGCTGCGCCTGGCGGTCGTTGGACGAGCAGACCCGTCCTTGGTGCGGGCGAGGAGGAACAGGCAGGCCCGTTGCCTTTGAGGGGCGAGGAGGAATCGTTTCTGCGTAACGAAGACAGGTCAGGCTTGGATGATAATCTCGAGGAAGAGGGAGACGAATCGTCTGGAGATGAGCAGGATGGGCGGCAAAGTGAGGTATCGGAGAATGAGGGGGAAGTGAGCTTGGGAGGCGGGGAGTGGTCAGCAGCAAAAGTGACGCTTTCAGACGAGGAGTCAGATGATGAAGAGCGTCTCTTCTTCTTCGATAGTGCGCCTCCGTCTCTCAACAGAGAATTGGGCATCAATCCTCCAGACGAGGAAACTGAACTCTTATGAACATGAACGTTTTTTACGACAGACCCTAAATAAGACGAGTTGAGCAGATCTTCCGATTTTTATAGATACTAATACTTGTTTGACCACTACCACATCATGATCATCCTTTTTTGATTCCATTTCCGATGTACATATTCTGTTTTCTTCATGCTTGGAAGACGACGACGATGACTGGCAGGCAGCTCCACGGGACGAGGAAAGCGTGATGTTGCCGATGACGGACTATGCGCGAAAGCGGTTGATCTGTGAGCGAATGACAAAGTTTGGGCATGACTCGGACGCGCCCATCTGTGACGAAGTATTTTCATGCACGATTCCGTACAGTTTCATTCTCTACTGTCCAAAGGATGTCTCTGTGAATAACGAGCCAAGCTGGCGGCACTACATTCGGCAGGAAGAACCTCCTGTCAGCGATTTCGCAATGCCACTTCGGGTATTTACCTCGACCTTGGAGCACAACATCTTCTTGGGTAGCCTAGATTACTCGCACTGCGAGCCCGGAGGTAGAGGCTATGGCCGCGATCGTTTCGTATCCAGCCGGCAAGGCTACATTTCCACCGCCGATCGCGCTCTATGGCTGTCGATGCGCAGGTGGAGCTGGGGGCTCGTGTACAGGGGTATGCGGCCGCCACCGCAGCGGGCAGAGCAAGCAGCACCTGCTGCAGGTCGGCGCAGCAGCCTCCACACCCGCAGAGTCGGCGGGCAGCAGTACCGCGGTGGCGGCATGCCTTCGCAGAATCCGCGTGGTGCAGGACCGATGTTCGGGGATTTTCATATGGGCGCGGGAGGTGGGCCACAGATGGTCAGGAACGGGCGCTCAAGCCGCCAAGTGAGCAAGGGCAGCACCGCGGGAAGCGTCGGTGACTACGCTGGTTCTGAGCGCACCACTAGCCACTTTGGGTTTGGGACCTCCCGTTCTTCTGCGATCGATTTTGAGCCGCATCTAGTGCAGTGGGAGCGCGCGCATCGCTGGACTTATCCCCCGGCAGGAACAGTCGGCGTCTATTTGGATCGGCTGGATGAGAGGGACGACTTGCATCTTTTCTGCCAGACCTGGGAGCTTTTCGTGGAGGCGATTCGTGGAGAGTTTTTTGATTTGGGGCACGCGGGTTTCGTCTTTCTCTTTCTCGAAGCAGTGGTGTTCCTTTGTTGCGCCGTCTTTTCGCAGCTCTGTCTCCGTCGCCCGGGGTTTCCAGGACGCACAAGTATTAGGGATATAATTCTAGATGTTGTAATGGTAATCCATCTTCAGGGGATGAAGCATAGTGCTAAGACGAATGGTCTCGTTGAATGATGGAGAAAAAGATCAGCTAGGGTGCTTCTCAAGATAGAAGGATCATTTCTGGAAGTTCTAACAGTCGCACCCTGAACAATTCACGTCGCGGCGCGTCGTTAACGGCGGTGGAACCGAGATCCGGTCAGCTGTCTACGATGTTGCTACAGGATAGTCCTCGCTCGCGGTCTCAGCGATCTCCTCGCGGCAGTGGCTCCTGGCGACAGTCGTCCGAGTCTAAGAGAGAAACTCGTCGTGCTGTCTCTTCGTCCGGCATTGCACATCAGCGGTCGTCGCAGGGCAGCCAAAGGCAGAGAAGAACGAGGGATAACGACAGGAAAGAGGACGACCGCGACGATATTGATGACCGTGTCGGCGAACAATCGGCATCGTCACCCACCGGGTCCTCCACAAGTGAGCATGAAGGAGGGCGGCGACGCCAATCCCGCATTTCTGGACGCAAGCATGCGGAGGAAGCACCGACAAAGACGCGAGGGAGCCGTTATTCACGACTCGGAGAGGGCGAGGAGAATGGGCGAGCAAGTTTCACTACGCGTCATCAGAGTACTTGTAGGCAACGGGAATGTAGATACCGGGATTCTTTGTACTCGTTTCCTCCGGGTGATGCGGAAACCTCTAGTAAGTCAGGGCGCAGTGTGTCTGTAGACTCGTCCGATTCCTGTATGGATGACACGAGCTCCGACGCGACAAATGGTGCCGGTTACCAACGTTATCGTCGCCGCGTCCTGCGAGATAAAAAACCGAACTACAGCAGGAACATATGTAGAGACTATAACGAAGAACGCCATCAGTCTGAAAGGGATGAAGCAGTAGCACCGCCTCGCAGAGGCAGCTCCATGGCCGACAGGAGAAGTGATCGCGGGTCTGTACTACAGCGACACAGGAACCCGCGGAATCCATTGGGTAGGGAAGCATCCCGACTACTTTCGACGGCCTCATCCGATAAGTCGGTGCTGAGCAGGAAGGCTGAACCCACCCAGATCGACTGACGCGTTAGGAAAGACTCTTCCAGTTCCTGCTCCCAGTGCACAACTTCTGGCATCCGCAGAAGATCAGCCGCGAAGACTTTTTGAGACGAGAACATCGACCGTCTCCGTCCTTCTGCAGCGGCGTGATGTGTCGGTGGTCATGATCGTCCGGTGCAAAGATGATTCTTATACTTACTAGTACTGTTGTGAAGATTTTTACAGTCCCTCGCTCTTTACAATGGCGGAGGGCGTGTTGAAGCTGCTACGCCAACGCTCGTCTTTATAGACCACGGCCGGAGCAGTGTGACTTTTCGGATTGAACGAGAGGAAGCATTCTCCCAACATTTTGGACCGCCAACACTAGTTTGCCGTCTTTGGGCACCAGGACGGTGTCTTCTTTTGGCAACGACGAGGCAGGCTGCCATTATTTCTAATGGACGGAATCAAAAGCGCAGGTAGGCTGGCAATAGAAGAGGACGGCGACAAGATGTGCAACGCTAGTCGTGTCAGAAGATTATTTCCGACGCCGGCAATCACGGGGCTTCTCAGCACGAATGGCGGTACTTTAATTCGCTGTCCCCAGCGCTGTCACATCAACTTCAGTGAGTGACACAAGGAGGCAGATCGCGAAGGCACTAGAAAACAGAACACCCTTGTTCGAAAGGGTTCTCCGCTATGCTGTCGATCATTGGCCTGCAACTACTGCAGTACGACATCCAGGAGCTTTGAGATGAGAAGCCTTCAGTGTCAGCACTCGTGTTACACAGTTTGCAGCCGAAGTGTCTTTTGCGCAGCCTCCCCTGTGGCATGATAATCGGACAGCCAGGGGCCCAGGGAAGAAGGCCCTAGCATGTAGCAGGGTTTTCCGCGCGGGATACGCTTGTTGACGAGGCAGAAGCCCTTTTAACATGGGGTCACTTCTCTGCACGTTACACGAGACGGAAAAAGAGGGAAGGCGCTTGAATCGCATTGAAGCGCAGGCCTTCAAAGATGACAACACCACACTGTGAATGCTCCTAGGAATCAGTGTTTTTTTTTCAAATCTCTTTGAGCTTGGATGATCTACTTTACTGCATGGTGGGGATCTCAAGCACTAGCACAAACTCGCTGCCACTTATCACCATCCCCTCTCCTGCTCAAGCATTTTAAGCTTTGTTGTTCACGTAGACGTATCTGTAAAGCGCGTTGCCCAGCGCGATCGTACGCGTTGCCCGGGGCGCATCAATACAAACAAACAAGTATCGGTAAAGATATAAAAATGGACTTATACATAGATATGTATGTATGAAAAGTTCTTGGCACTGGAAGTTTATTGTCAGAAGAAATTTAGGATCGCAATGTCATAGATAGAGCTCGTGACTGTCCGTGTCTTCGTACAGTATTGTTCTCGTTTCTCGTATTGTTCGTGTAAAGCTCAAAGCAACAGGAGGTCCAATGGTTTCTTTTTTGTGCTGGGCTCTTCTGCAGTACGGAGGTTGTAGATTTGTTGTTATTGCCATTACCGATACGAATTAACGTGCCCTCGAGATGAATGGACGTAGGCTACAAAAGTCAGTCATTGCATTATTGAGCGTCGAAGGCGGCAGCTCGAAAGGCATCACCACAGCCGAAATTATTCAAGGACTAGTTTTTCCTCTCATGGTTTGTTGTGTTTGTGACTGTACTGGTTTTCTGCCTGTTGTACGTCAAGTTCACGTTGTAGTTACCTCAAGTAGTGCATACTGGTACTCAAAGGCTAGGTGAAGCTAAACATGGAAGTACGTGATCATTTCTTCCTCCTCCATTTGGTTGGCCGGCGAACCACCAGGTCGTTGGATAGCCTGTTCGTTGTACTACACTGACTCACTGTTGAGATAGTTGCTTAGTGGTGTCAAAGTAACCTGATTAGAACATTCATACTGTAGATTTATGCTCAGTTCTGTTGTCCTTGGAGATTGAAGCAAGTACGCTGAGAGCAGCTTCTTCTCCCTTTGATACCCTGCTTGCTTGGTGCATGTACTTTTTTCTCTCATGATGATCTTTCTGAGTGTCATCTCACCATCTCACCAGTAGGCACATCCTCCCTGAATTTGTATGTGGGACTAGAAGAATGAATGGTCTTGTAGCTGCTAGCATCGTAGTGATATGAAGAAACAACGCATGTTTTAGTAGGCTGGAGGGATTGATAGAATGGCAAGTCATACAGCGATCATCTGCAGTAAGAGGTGCAAAGGATGATGTAAATTATATAATCATTAAGTATTACCGCTTCCCCATCAGAATATTAACCCCGCCCCTTTTCATCATTGTTAGTAACTACAGGTACAATTTGTTTTAAGTAAGAACCTCCCTGAATTATATAAATGATTTCAGGCTGTGCAGTCGTCAGCGCTTATCTGCACAAAGACGCTGCCTGTGTGTGAAGACAACCTGAAAATGCATACTAAACATTGCGCACTTCAAGGTTGATTATGTGTTGAGTTGTGTGCGCAGTCTTTTCGCTAGCGATCATCGCGACGCGCGCGCATTCACTTGACATCGATAAAGTAACTAGACATGGCTTGTGTTTCTAGTATACTCTCGCAGCGGAAAATCTTTAGCAGGGTATCCGAAAAATCATTTTTAGGACGAAGAGACCACACCTCCTCTGGGACAGAAGTACGTTGTGGTGCTATAGTACTCTCTCTCTCTCTCCTCCACAATTACCGGGTGGCTCTGAGTATATATAACTGTAGCGTCAATGATGAATGTTTGCACTTGAGCAAAAGGAGTGGTCGTGGGTGGGTTATTTTGAACAGAAAATCCACCCAGTGTATAAAAATCTCGTATCTTTTGGAGGCCATGAAATGTTGATTGTTATTCCTGCCACGTCGCCGAGCGTTTGTGGAATATACGACGTCCTGAGCGTGTGTTGTTTTTTTCGTCTGTCTTTTTGTATTGCATGATTCGCTGTAAGTTCGTGTCTGCTGTAAGAATTGTCTTTGTTTTGCGTTTCCGTTGTAGTGTTGCATGTAGTTGCTGGAGGATGTCAAGCCAAATGCAGGGCAAAGAAAAATGTAAAAAATGTAGCTTGCTGAACGATGTGGCGGCACTTGCCGAACGATGTGTTGTTCCTGCAACTAAAGACACTCACTTTGATAGGGTTAAGCTTGGGGTGTATGAATAATCTATGCAAATGCTGATCTGTAATTTATTACGTTGCCCTGTGGAGGCGCCCTGTGAACTTCTCAAAAGTCTGTCATTACATATTTAGTTTATCTGTGCGAGCGATAAGTATCGAGAGGGAAGCCCCAAGCTTCCCTGTCGCGTCCGATCCTGTATCTTACCTCCCGCAGCAGCCCCTTTGTTTTTTGGAGAAGCCCTCCGCTCGTCTTTTTATCTCGTTTGGCGAATCCTTGACTTGTTGGTCTTTTTGTTGATTATTCCTTCTCTACGGACCTGTTATTTTTATTCCACTTCTGCTTGGTCTTGATCGTTTGCTCTTCCAATTCTTCATTGTTGTTTTTGAGGAGGCATGAAGGATGCATAAGCAGGACACGCTGCATGGGGAGCAGAGGGGGCGCTGACAAGTCCTAAGAATCCAGTAGCGGGACTTAGAAAAGGGCGCAACGCAAAAGAATGGAGAAAATATTGGAGGACAAAGAAGGATGTAGAAAGGAAGAGTAGATATGCTAGGCTAAGGACTAGACTAAAGCTCCTTCAACTACGAAACTCTCGCCGTACTCATGGCCTTAAGCCAGTAGGCATTTACATCTAGTTCACTTGTCAGTTAGCTGCGCATTAGTCAAGAGTAAGCAGGGTTGGCGGCCCCGGCCCTGCCCTCGTGCCTTGTAGGCTGGCGCATAAGCATGCGACGGCTCGCAGCCGGTGGGGGTTTATATTACTTAATTAATCACCTCCTTTGCCCCTAGTTTCTTCTTCATTTTATAATCGACGGGTTCGTAGGCGATTAGTGCGCGGTAGTATAAGGAGGTTAATGCACTCCACCCGTCGCCGGCAGGTACACTGGACATCACTGGGGTCACCCTTTCGGCGTTCTCGGAATACAAAAAAAAAAAAAGCGCCCTGAGGAGGCAAACGGTTTGATTGATTGATTGAGGTCGCCCTTTCACCGCGGAAGCGGTCGCCCTCCTCGAGCTCTTCCTCCACGCGGACAAAGTGCTGCCCCAAACACAAAGACGCTCCACGTGATCTCAGACTGCGACAGTGTGTGCTGATGGCGCTTAAAAACAACACCAACACGAGCAAGACGATCGCGAGGATCCGGCAAGCCGTAAGCGTTCTCCTAGCAAAAAGGCAGACGCTCGGGGTCGTCATCCACTGGGCCCCGAGCCACCGAGGGATCAGGATCAACGTCTTAGCAGACATCCTCGGAGACTTTACCCCGGAGAGGATGCCGCCCACCGATATGCCTTGCCTCACGAAAAGGAGAATCGCCTTCCTCTGCCGCACCGACCGCGAGAGGCGAAACGCTGCTGACGGGCCTAACGCCTTGCCTGCCGCCGACGACACCACCCTCCGGAGGACCTACAGGACAAGGAGGCTAGGCAGGCCACCTCTCGCAGGACTGACCCCGGGACAGGAGAGAGTGGTCTTCTCCATCTGGTCAGGAGAAAACTTCCTACCGGCTGACGCGCTCTGCCCGATGGCCAGGGCCGGAGGATTGCCCCCGAGGTGCGCGAGGTGCTCGGCAAGCGTTCCGATCCGCAGAGCCTCTGGCGGGAGTGTCTTAGCGGGGGCCTACTCTGGGGGTGACATGTGCTGCCAGCTGGTGGATCACCTCATCGCGGGTTGCCGAGTGGCGCCGGAGCATGTTGCTTTCGCCATGGCGGACCCGGTCGAACTAGTAGCGAAGGACCCCAAGAGGCACACAGACCGCGTCTTGGCCACGCTGGGTCTCCCGAGCACGCCTCCCTCTTGGCCCAAGAAAAAGAAGGAGCCAAAGCCAAGCAAGGCAGAGGAGGAGAAGAACACGCCACCAGAGTGGAAAGCCAGCGCGGGCAAGGCGGTCCGAACCAGACAGGAGATGGGCGGCGCTTGGGGCACCAACTCCAGCGAACCGTCTGGCAACCTGCTCGGGGCGATTGGCCTCCTGGAAGGGCAGGGGGGAAGCCCAGGGTAAGAGGAGAGGGACCGCCGCGAGGTAGTCAGACGAGGCGGACGGAGTGAAATCTTCACACTGATGGCCCCGAAATTATTAGAAGATCGCACCCCGCCAAGGTGAGAATCCGGCTTGCGGGCCTAGCCCAACACGGCCCCCTCACACCAGTTGCAGTATTGTACTGTCGGGACCCTTGCGTCTTCCAATGACTCCGTGTCGGGAGACGCGATGGGTGGAGGATAGCGGGCTTCTCCGGCGGTGGAGAAGTGCGGCGAGAGCCGGTTCAGCATGCATCACGGTCCCTGGCGCGGGCCAGCATGGTAGATCGCGAACGAGGGTGGATGGTCTGGCCATGTGCCCGCGTGACATTGTCCAGGGATCGGCTCGGAGTGAGGTTCTCTTCCTCAACTGGGTCGTGAGGGCTCACCCTTCATTAGCCCGACACAGCGTACTTAAGCAAAGCGGGCAGAGTCCAAAGACAGCTGCAGCTAATTTGCGCTTGAGGTTCCTTGTAACAGACCACGTTAGGTGACTAGTCTCTGGTCTTTTGCTATGGGTGATCTTTTGTGGGCTAGGTCAGCGGGAACGCAGTCGTGCTCGCACAATCCAGAGTTGGCCCTGGGTCTGTTTGTTCCTCCGTTATCCAGCACCGCCGCTCGTTAGACGGCCGCATATTATTGATTGACTACGTTGCTGAGCTATGCTCCTGAGTATGGGGCTGGGTCACTGGTAGGAATCGATCCTAAGCCACTACAGCAGAGGTCTCATTCTACTCAAAATTTTCATATCAAACTTCCAGCCGTGAGGTCGCTGGTCTACTAGTAGAGGTCTCATTCTACTCAGCAGCTCCCCTGACATTTTGCTATTTTCGTGTAACGTGTTGTCGTAATTCTAGAGTGATCAGTTTTGGATCGCTGAGGAAGAACAACTGAGACGTTACCAAGTGTTCGTCGTGGAGGTTCGTGGATCGTTATCTACGCTCCTATGTTGTTGAACGTCAGGGTTATTTCACACCTGTTGGAGGACGATGGGTAGAAGCTGATAAAGATCGGTTGGAGTAAGAGATGCAAATCGGTTCATCTCTCAGAAACGGGCAAAAAAACCACGATCGGCCTATTCCCCAGAAACGTGTAAGAAGTCGATGTTGGACCCTATTCCCCTTATCTGTGATATTTCGGTGTAGGACTTCGATTGCATCCATATTTGGTGTACCAGACCTCTGTTACTCTCAGTCCCGTGTAAGCCGAGCCCCACCTAGCACCCAGCCACGTCCTCTCGTCACCCCCCACTCCCTCTAAGAGGATGCACCCGCTGCAGCGAAATGCACTGCTGTTTCGATGCTAGTATGCTAAAAGTTGGATCTTAATATAGTTCTGGTTACTTACACTTGATCATTCGTTTCAAGTTCAACAGTCAGGGAGTTGGTCATTGAGTTTAGTGGAGAAAAAATACGGGTTGATAGTCAAAGTGGCCCTAAGGGAGTGGCTTAGTCATGCTTATAAACCATGCTGGCATGACATACGCAAACCATAGAGTGGCCTGAATTGTATATTTACAATATCAAGTAACGCGTTTAGAATTATGACGACGAAGAAAACAGGATGAAAAGATGGCGAAAGTAAGACTGAGATTCTTCAATAGGAGCACGACATGCTGTACGTAGGCGGTCGCCCGCAATGGTGATTCCTTGGACCGCGTTTCCGGTGTGGGTGCCTGCACCGAATTTGCGTGGAAGCAAGCAATTTCTCTCACAAGAGCCACCTGCAGAGGATAAAGGAGGATCTTCTACGCAAAGTGATCAAGTGACGACAAGCAGCACTCCTGTAGTACAAGATGAAGAACTTGAACTTCGAGGTCACGACGATCACGTGCAACCGTTAGCGCCATTAGCGGTGAGGATGAAGATGATAGGCTATCAAGTAGATTAGCGAATGCTTGGCTGGAGGTCGTCGTGGATAAAAAAACCATAAGATCTTCAGCGTCCTCATTTTATGGCGGAAGCGATTCTTCATCTGAAGAACCAGCTGCTTCATCTGCAACAGCGCCTAGGCTAGCTAGTGCCAGTACTGCTTCTGCTGCTTCTAGCAGTAGTACAAGATCATCACGTATTAAAGGCGAAAATACTGCTCGTAAAGCACCAGGTGATGAGAAAGCCAACAAGAAAGTTAGTAGCACCACTACAGGAGAAGTCGGAGTTGGACGACCATTGCCAAAGCAGGAGCTAACTCGGTTCGAGAAAATTCTGGTTGGGGTGCTTCAAGCTGACTACGATCGGGATAAGGAGTACGAAGCTGCGCTGAAGTCAGAAGCAAAACGCTTCCCCAAACGGGCGGCTTTGCGGGCGACTCTCAAGAATGGACCTGGCGTTCAACTCACTAGCCTTTACGCTGCTTCCCGACGGTTAGGCAGTCGGCTCCGGCGTACAATAATCAGAAGGTAAAGGATGGCGAGAATTCCCTGGCACGCGAGGGTGAATCTGCTCAAGAATGGAAAAAGCGCATTATCGAGCAAGAGCTGGAGCCTCTCAATGGCGAAGTCGATGCGGCAGTAGAGCGCGCGGAGTCCAGGATCGACGAGCTTTGGTCGACCGATGATTCCGCGCAGGAGGAACAAGAGGCGTCGTCTGCGACAACTCATGCAGATCGGCAGATTTTCCACGAGCTCAGGGAAGAAAGCCGGAAGCAACGGAGTGTTCTGGAGGAGGAAATCAAGGAGGTAAAGTCTGAGCGAGCGGGTCTCGAAGAAGAGCTCGGTTTGCCGACTTCCAGTGGTGCGGTAGGCGCATCTAGTGGCCTGGCAACAGGGGGTGAAGCTACTTACGCGAAGAGTCTGACGGGAGCGACGCCAGAGGAAGAGTAGACAAGCAGTCGTGGGGTTTGGGGGTAAAGTTGGTTTAAGGAGACTTAGTAGTGTGGTGGTAGGCGTAGGAATAATCATCTGATATTAGTAATCTCAGAGGCAAATTTCTAGATCTAGTAGAGTAAAGGGCAATAATATGCCACTGGTAGTAGAGCCTCTCTATTCCGTGACCACGCGCATTTTCCTGCAGATTGATCTATCATGAATTTTTCATTTTCATGTTAAACGAACTATCTACTTGCCCTCAGCTCGTTGACTCGCCGCATATTATCGTATCGAATAACAAATCTTAGACAATCTGCCGAATAGATTCGCATCATCATCAACAAATTCAACTTTCAAATCAGAGATCGAAGGACCAGAAAACATCAGTGAAGAAATACGAGCACCCCTGGCACTCTTCCGTAAACCAAACCCTCTTTTGACGAAGGCCTGATGCAAGTGGCTTTGGTGACGATTCGTGGGCCGTGATCAATTTAGAGATTTGTTACGTTCGTTAGCCCTGCTTCATAGCATGCTTTTGTTTCAGTTGTGTAGCAATTGATGTGTTGCAGTTTATGCCCGCAATTCTGTTGCATTTCTGCATTGTGTAACAATGTTATTCCCCATCCTGACCACTTTATGTGAAGTCGGTTTGGGTTTCTCGACACTAGCTTGGTGCTCGACCAAGCGTTACTTAGAAGGAGGTGGCTCGTGGAACATAACCTCTATGACATAATAATGTCTCGTCGACGAAGACTTAGCTATGTCTCGTGACGGGGACACACACACTTGACAGTATCATGACTCATCAATGATCCGCTTTTAGGACGAGCGCGAGACAGCCCGAGTTTCAAAAGATACTTTATATTCCTAAAACAAAAGATCAAATTACTACAGGAGAACACCTCTTAATTGTTACTCGTAGGAGGACAGAATGTTGAGGAGTACTCTGTTTGGAGGACCGCCGCAAGACCCTGCCGAGGTCGCGGCCGCACAAGCCCGTTCGCAACTCCAGCAGGCTGACGCGAGGCTCGAAGCAGCTGAAGCGTCCGCTGCCAGCGAAAATGAGCAGCTGCGAGACCTTGTGGAGAACCGCTTTGCAAGACGACGAGAAGCGTTCGCGCGTCTGGGTTCGGAAGTCCACAGAGGAGCCGCTGCCTTGGAAGAAAACGCACAGGAGTTGCAGCGGCGAGTGGGAATAGCTGCTCGCACAAAAGAAAAACTCGCTGTCGCCCTCGATCGTGCTTCCTGGACACTGGGTGTGGCGGAGGCACATGCAACGGAAATGGAAAAGAGGTTGAAGACTGCTAAGGAGCAAACTGAATCACCTGCTCCGACTCAGACACAAATGAATTAGAAATACTTAGATGATAGTGGTGGTTGTAGTACAGTTGTACACTGATCATCTAGGTCTTCTTTTTTTTGCCCTGATATCAAAAAACAGATCGTCGAAATGAAACCAGTCAAGAAACAAATGAAATAGTTGTCAGTGTTCCGTAAATTAGCATGATTTTCCTGGAGTAGCGCACAACAAATGCGAGCGTCACACCAGAGTTCTATGTAAGTACGTGATTGAGTCCTGAGAGTGCTTTTTCTAGGACCCTAGTTTTCTGATGTCGAGATCATTTCTTATTATGAAAATGAATATTAGATTTGGAGAAAAGTTTCTCAAGAGAGTTTTCAAGAAAGAAAAAGGGTGAGAAGATGCATCCACGACTCGTTGCCCCGTCTTGTTTTTACTGACATTGACTTGAGCGAGGTAGCTAAGAGCAGCACGAAAGCAAGAAGATGGTGGTTGGTCATATGAAGAAAACGCGCTTGCGGTACGGGTTGTCGGTTACGACGCACGACAACCCACAGTGGAGGCCCTCGAAAAATAATTTGCTGGCAGATGAACAGCAAGTCCCTATTGTGGTGAAAGGCGTCCCACAATTTCTTTCGGAATGGGACCGGCATACTGCTCACGCCAAATTGCGCAGGAGATTCATACTTAAGGCTTTAGGTTTAGACGATTCCTTATTCACATTTGGCAGTCCTCTGCACAAATAGTTTGTGGCAGCCCTCTGCACAAATATTTCGTGCCAGCCTTCTGCGCGAAGAGGTTGTGCCAGCCCTCTGCACAAATATTCTGTGCGAGATTTTATATTTTACTACTGCATTGATACTAGCTTGGAGCGTCCGATAACATCCCTCCCACTAGGATCCCCCTCCTCCCCAAAATAAGAAACCAAGCAAGGCAAAGGCGTAAGCGATATGCGTTCTCAAATTTCGAAAATTTTCCACGTTTTGCCATCGTTTGAGGATTGGGCCTCGTGCGTTTGAAGTCAAGGGCTAAGATCCCGAAACTTTTTGACTTTAAGCCGTTCCGCTGAAATTCAACTTCTTGGATTTGCGTTCTTCAAATTTCGAAAATTCTCCACGTTTTATGGTCGTTCTGGGATTGAATTTTGTGCGTTTGAAGCGCTAAAGTCCCAAAGTTTTTGAATTTCAGCCCTTTCCCTGCGATTCAGTTTCTTGGATTTGCATTTTTCGAATTTCGAAAATTTTCCACATTTTGGCGCCGTTTTGGGGTTGAATTCTGTGCGTTTGAAGTGCTAAAGTCTCAAAATTTTTGATTTTAAGCCCTTTCCCTGAGATTCAACCTCTTGGCTTCGCGTTTTTCCAATTTCGACAATTTTCCACGTTTTTCGTCGTTTTGGGAGTGAATCCCGTGAGTTTGAAGTGCTAAGATCCCAAAATTTTTGATTTTAAGCCCTTTCGCTGAAATTTAATGCCTTGGCTTCGCGTTTTTCAAATTTCGAAAATTCTCCCCGTTTTTTCGTCGTTTTGAGATTGCGTCTCGTGAGTTTGAAGTGTTGAGATTCCAAAATTTTTGATTTTAAGCCCTCTCCCTGAGATTCAACCTCTTGGCTCCGCGTTTTTCAAATTTCGAAAGTTTTCCACCTTTTTCGTCATTTTCAGAGTGAATCGATTGACTTTGAAAGGCTAAGATCCCAAAATTTTTGATTTTAAGCCCTTTCGCTGAAATTTAATTCCTTGGATTCGCGTTTTCAAATTTCGAAAATTTTCCACGTTTTGTCGTCGTTTTGTGGTTGAGTTTGAAGTGTTAAGATCCTAAAATTTTTGATTTTAAGCCCTTTCCCCCGAAATTCAATTCCGTCGCTTCGTGGTTTCCTGGTATCCTGGTTTCGTGGAGTTCGTGGAGTTCGTGGAGTTCGTGGCCTCGTGGCTTCGTGGCTTCGTGGCTTCGTGGTTTCCTGGTTTCGTGGTTTCGTGGTTTCGTGGTTTCATGGTTTCATGGTTTCATGGTTTCATGGTTTCATGGTTTCATGGTTTCATGGTTTCATGGTTTCATGGTTTCATGGTTTCATGGTTTCATGGTTTCGCGGTTTCTTGGTTTCCTGGTTTCCTGGTTTCCTGGTTTCCTGGTTTCCTGGTTTCCTGGTTTCCTGGTTTCCTGTTTTCCTGGTTTCCTGGTTTCCTGGTTTCCTGGTTTCCTGGTTTCCTGGTTTCCTGGTTTCCTGGTTTCCTGGTTTCCTGGTTTCCTGGTTTC